TTAAAAATTCCCAAATTTTACAGGCATGTAGAGAAAATCAAGGGGAATAATTTTTATACCTGGGCCGAGGTCTAATTCAGCCAGGAAGTGCTCAAATTCGTCTCAAACCTGCCGGAAACCCTATAAAGGGTGTGCTTTGATTCGTCGATTCCGAAGCTCCGTCACCCCAACCACCGGTTAGGTCTTGTTCCTGGGTTCGACGGAAGACTAATGGTATTGGTAATCAACAATGGTGGCTTCAGAAATGGTGAATTGCATCTGTGTAAACCAGAAACTCAACGAGCTCGATCTCGGTGATACGAGAACCAAAACCCATCAAATTAGGTGGAGATACAAGCTGGAAGGTCGCTGAGTTGTATACATGTGGTGGATTGCCTTGCTTTGCTGGAAAAACGGTGAGAAAGCCATCAGAAAACATGGAGGAAACAGGTCGAAGGTTGGGTCACGGGTTGTAGGAGTCCAGGTTGGTCCCTCTCCTTCTCAATCTCATCTCCTTTGTCTCCTTTCCATTCTCCTAATTGGATAGCTCCTTCTTCTTCTTCTCTTAATTGGGCAAACCATACCTCATTTCCACTCCTCCGGTTTAGGCAGTAACCCTCCCTTTCCTCCTTGTTTCTTCTACTCCCCAACTCCCTTATTTTTCCCACTCAGCCACACACATATGGCATAAAAATCATTTAGTAATAAAAATAGTGTTTTATTCAAAATACTTTCGGGTTTGTAACTCAATAAAACTTTAACCGTAACTCCAAATTCACTTCTGCTTGTGCCTACACGTCTATATTGTCGAGTACTTCAAGAATACATAAGGGAATATTTTGTACGTCTCATTATACATTGGTCAATGAAAGTCAACACCCTCGCCTCTAAGGGCATTTTCGTAAAATCACGCTTCTAAAATTTATAAAATTCTAAAATTAGGGACGAGTTGTCACGTATTTGTCACGCAAAAAAAAATTATATTTTTTGTTATGGGTTTAATGTTATAATAAAATAAAAAAATAAAATTGAAATAAAAAAATGTAATGAACAAAAAAATAATTTATTTAAAATCAAAATAAAATGTATGTACAAGGAAAAACTTTTAAAAGTTAGGGACTAAACAACTAAGAAAAAAAGGTGGAATAATCTATGGGGTCATCGTTCACATGCGGATGGAAAGATTAGGGCAAGAAGGACTTGGGGTTTTGAGGTCGAACAGGCGGAGTTCTGGGCATGCTCGGGTTGGAGGGGTTAGTACATCGATAAGGGACGAATATCCAGGAGTCGAATGCCGAACTGACCGAAGGCCTATACAATTAGTGACATTTGGCTTTTATACAAGGCGAGCTCAGTCCTTAGGTCGGCCACCTCTGTTGTCAAAGCTGTCACCTCACCTTTCGACTGGGAGGATGAAAAGGCTCAAGGTTCCCGCCGCCGAGCATTCCTCATCCCCCTACAATATGTCCCCAGCCTCCGTCCAAGAGTCTGATCCAAGGTGTCTGCAAGGATCTGAAACCCCGCATCCTCTAGGGGATCCACACACTCAAGCAGAGTCTCAGGAGGAAATTAGAAGGCGGACTCTTAAAGAACCAACTGCCTCTTTTCCATCATCGTCGCAAGTGTAAAATAACATGAAATATTAATAATAAAATTCAAATAATAACCTTGATACTTGAATGCGTAAGATAGTAATTATAATTGAAGAATACTTACATGAAGGGACTCAGTCAACTCATCCCTAGGTCGAACATAAACGTCTGCAAAGACATCGATCTCTGGGAATTTTGAAGCCCCCGTGAATAGAACAAGATAAGAAAAATGTTATTATGAAAGAAAAATTAATACAACTGACATATTAAAAATTTAATATGAAAAGCTTTATTATTACCTACTGTCGCGCCTCCATCCTATATGAGAGGATCCTCGAACCCTAATGATGGAGAAAAGTCTTCTTCTCCCGATTGATCTTGTTGGCTTTCGTCTTCTTCTGTTATACAAAAAATAAATGTATTAGCTCTAATTTAAATGAAATTTAAAAACAATCATTAAATATTAGTAAGAAAAGTAAAATACTTTTAGACTTAATATAAAAAATGTACCATATAGCCGGTGTAACGCCCCGTCCCGAATTATTTGCTTTATTTCGGGAAATAATAATATTAGTGATAGGCCCAAACTAAACTCCGGTTTAGTTTGCTACTATTTCTTTTATTATACTTCTAAATCTCCAAACAATTTAATTTCTATAAAATTAACCATGTTTTTCATTACCATAACAATCAATTATGTTATCAACTTAATTCCCCAAATTCTTCTATCAAGCAACCTCTAATTCAAAGATTAATTCTCGAATATTTAATCTTATTGGTATTATGGGTGCATCTAACATCTCGTTAGACTGCCTACGTACCCTAAACAGGGATCAAGCCATTCGTAGTTCACAAATTCCAATTCTATTAAACTTTGATATTTCTACACATAACTAACAATCCCCATCTAGCTTCAAACAAGTGTATTACATTAAATACGTATTAAATTTATTTCCAGAACATCAAAATTAGCTTAAAACTACGGCGTCGGTTCCCTGGGCACGCGTCGCTGCCGGTGGCGGTCGGCCGCCTCGATTCGCTGGAAAATATCAACTATCTCTAAAAATTACCAAATTTTACTGAGAAATTAGATCTCAGTGAGAGGAACAACTTTCATACATGTGGCCAAACCCAATTTGGTCGGGAAACACCTCAAATCGGCCACGAACCGCCTGAAACCCTTGAATTTGGGTGTGTTCAATTCGACCTCAAAGTAACTCCGACGCCCCTAAACTTGTTTGGGCTTTGTTCCACACCTCAAATGGAGTCTAATGGTGGTGGTAATTGTACCAAATCATTTCAGATTTGGTGGATTTCAAGCAAGAAAGGTCGCGACACCCACGGGTATGTTCTTCCCAAATACAAGACCAAATTTCATGATTTTTGGGGTGTAATAGGGAGAGGGAAGGTCGTGGAGGGGTTTCCAAGTGGTTGTTTGACACAATTCACCGGAAAAATGGGTGAAATCCCGTCAGAAACATGTATGGTGCCGAACCGGGTCGAGTCACCAAGGCCCGGGTCCCGATCTCCCGTGTCTAATTTCTCTCATTTCTCTCCCTGTTCTCTCTCCCCCTTGGTCCTCCCCCTTCTCTTCTTTCTGTCATTTTCTTTCAATCCCAACCGTCCATTTTGGTTTCTTCCTTTCATCTCAGCCACACATGTGGCATGACACATGGCTCCAGATTTTCTGGAGCCTTCTAAAGATGTTTAAAATTACCAAATTTATCCCCGAATTTAAACGTTAATAACTTCTCCACTCTAACTCTGTTTCACGAATAGTTTGGGCCTACGCGTTCGTAAGATCGAGCTTTATTCAAAAATATAAATTTTTACCTTGAAAGGTCTACGTATTTTAAATAATTAATGTCCAAACTTCAATCCTCGTAACTAGTTTAATTTAAAACTAAAATTTTATGAATTAATATAAATTCTCAATTCTTCTCATATACTTATAATTTTGAATACCTAATTCATATATTTAAATTTTTCAGGGTATTACAGCCGGGCTCCTAAAAATGACTGCAGAGCCACACCCAATTTTTTCCCAATCCTTGAACTCATTCGGGCAACCCTCCTCAAGAGCGACCTGCGGATCATCAAATGTCTGTGTGCATGTCTCTCTTCCACTGCTTTTACCTTTCAGCGAAAAGCCTGTTGACGTGCGCCAACATATTGTCGTTTATGTCGTCGAAATTGTAATTCATTTGCAATGTAACAAATTAATTACATACATTAAGTAATATAAATATATAAAATTTAAAGAGAAAGCAATAAAAAGGCAATATACTTACCGATAAATAAGCACGTACCTTCGTCCTCACCTCGTTTGGCATTGTCTTCCAAGACTTCTATTGCATAGGGCAATAGGTCTGAACAACGTGACCAATGTCGTAGGCCAATGCGCTTTGTTGCTCCAGCGTTAGTGCAGCCTGATGCCAGTCATCGTATTCGATCGTGATACATTCGTTGGTCACTTGGGTGACCTTAGCCATCTTCAACTAGCGACATGGTCCCCGAATATTTTTCTTTGCTGAAAAAAAAAAACAGTCAAACAAACACTACAAATTATACCGAAATTTCTGCAGAACCTCCCCTAAAGTTATAACAATTCCCAAACCCTGGACATTATAATAATAATAATATATGATATCCAACAACAATCACAACTAGGGGTGGACAAACGGGGCATGGATCCGCTGGTAGAGGCGGGTTTAAGCAGTTTAGGGCGGGTCCAATTTTTTAAAATCTGAAACGGGATGGGGCGGGGCGAGTCCACGTTAGTTGCGAGGAGGGGCGAGTCCTAATTGTTGAGGAAACGGGTCCCCGACCTAGACCGTTTCCACCGTCCAAAAATTTGTCTATCTCTCAAACAAAACTCTCAATCTCTCTCACTAACTCTCCATCTCTTTCATCTCTATTCCTCACCTCTACAACTCACTCTCTTGCCCCTCTCTCGCCCCTCTGCAACTCACTCTATCGGGATTTCTATACTGAAATTGCAAAGTGCCAAGCAAATAAATATCAATAATTTGATAAACTGAAAACGGAGTGACAAAACTAAGAAAGAAGTAACTTTTACCGCTATAATAGCAGCATCCGTCAAAAAATACAGGAAGTCACCCTCAATATCAAGCTGCACATAGACTTGGTCAATATGCAAGTGATAAGTGAAAAAAAAAATATCCCACCGGTGGGAACTGGACTCATGATTTACAAATGGTGGGTGCAAAGTGTGAAATTCCAACCTGGCTTGCACCAAACAACGCCCTTATTGCTTTTTCATTAGTTGTAAGACTTTGTTCAATGATACAAGTAGCTTCTTGAAGTGCAGCTTTGCATTGCGGACCTGCAGACTCTTAACAATATGAAAATCTAGGTTTTTGCAGTGAAGATTTGATAGAGAATTATGAGAAAGAGAGAGACGAAGAATTGTAAAGTGGGAAAACTTTTATTAATCGACTGAAAAACAAAGCACAGTAGCTATATATACATTTTCCAATCTTAGCTTCTTAAGTATGCTACTACTAAGATTACATATTAAGAAATCAATCTACAAGTGACAAGTGTACAAATGATAAACTGACATATGGCAACATCTCTATTATTACCCCCCCTCAATCTTAACCAGGAGCACCAAGGTTAAGATTGGAATAATGGCGAATGAAATCTGGACTATGAAGACCCCTGGTAAACACATCCGCAAGCTGAGCCTTGGTAGGAATATATTGCACCAACAAATCACCCTTTTGAACTTTCTCACAAACAAAATGATAGTCCGTGTCGAGATGCTTAATCCGAGGGTGAAAAACATGATTAGTACTCAGAGCAAGAGTAAAAAGATTGTCACAATGTAAGAGAGGTGGAGAAGGAACAACGACATACAAGTCACACAGTATATTTCTCAACCAACACACATATGCTGCACAATGAGCAAGGGCCTTATATTTAGCTTTAGTGGAGCTCCAGGAAACTGAAGATTGTCTTTTAGATTGCCAAGACACATGATTTGATCCAAAGAACACCACATAACCGGTAATAGACCAACGAGTATTAATATCCGTAGCCCAATCAGAGTCAGAATAGGCTGTTAAAGAAGTATCAGAAGTAGATTTATACGCCAATCCACACTGCAAAGACCCTTGAATGTATCGGAGAATTCTTTTGACCAAGAAAAAATGAGAATCAGTCGGTTGACTCATAAACTGACAGACAACATTGACGGCATGAGAAATATCGGGTATGGTAAATGTGAGATACTGCAGTGCACCGACAAGACTTCTATACAAAGTGGGATCAGCTAAAGGAGTGCGTTCAGACTTCTATACAGAGTAGATACAGGTTTACAATGTTCCATACCTGCTTTCTTAAGAAGCTCCTTAGCATAATTGGTTTGATTCACAAACAAATCCCCATTTGCTTGATACGAAATATGAAGACCATGAAAATATATAAGAGCACCCATGTCCTTAAGATCAAAATATTCACCAAGTTGATCAATTATAAGCTGAACCTGATCATTAGTAGAACCCGTAATGATAATATCATCAATGTATAATAGCAGAACAACAATATGAGTCCCATCATGTTTCACAAATAAACTATCATCTGAAGAAGACATTTGAAAACCCAAGGAAGGTAAAACTCCAGTAAATTTGTGATGCCAGGCTCAAGGAGCCTGTTTGAGACCATACAATGAACTTGACAAGCCTACAAACATGAAAAGGATGACAAGGATCCACAAATCCCGGAGGTTGCCGCATATAAATTTCCTCATGTAATTCTCCATGAAGAAAGGCATTTTTAATGTCTAACTGGTGAAGAGACCAGCGTTGAGAAGTGGCCAAAGCCAAAATAAGCCTCACTGTAGAGTGTCGAACAACTGGACTGAAGGTTTCAAAGTAATTAAGACCTTGTTCTTGAGTCAGCCTTGAGCAACTAGTCGTGCTTTGTGGCGTGCAATCGTGCCACCAGAATTTGTTTTGACTTCATAAACCCACTTACATCCTACAACAGAACGGTTGGGAGGAAGTGGTACCAAAACCTAAGTACCTTGAGATTTAAGAGCATTAAACTCATCTCGCATAGCTTGCTTCCATAATGAATTCTGAGATGCAATGCGAAATGTCTTTGGTTCCTCCATATGAAAAATGTTAGCCACAAAGGAATAACCAGCATAGCTAACATCAGTATCATTAATAGACAATGAGTGCAGTTCTAAGGGCTCAAGAACAAAATCGGAGGTAAAGATGAAGCAGCTAAGTCGTCGTACCCAGTGCACAAGGCTCCCGCTTTACGCAGGGTCTGGGAGAGGTGAATGTCGGCTAGCCTTACCCCCATTTATGGAGAGGCTGCTCCCAAAAGGTAAAAGTACCTAATGCTGAGTGGAAACAAGGACAGGTAACAACTCAGGTGAAAGAGGAGGAGTAGCATTGGAACGAGCTATTAAAGATTCAGATTCCTATGATGAAGAACCAGATAAACCAGAAGACATTGGTGAATCCCCCTGTACCTTGTGAAGTAACTTGTGGTAGTGTAACAACCAAAGGAGGATGCAATTTGGAATCTGAACTGATGGAGGAAGAAATAACTAAAGAACTAGACAGCTTTGCAGAAAACATATGCTCATCATGAATCATATGCCTGGATATGTATAATCTCTTGGTTGCCAAACTATAGCAAATAACCCCCTTATAACCAACAACATAACCCAAAAAGACACATAATAGAGTCCTATGGTGAAGTTTATTATTGGTATAGGGCCTGTAATAAGGATAGACAGTAGACCCAAATATTTTCAAATGTCCCAAAGTTGGAGACTTCTTATATAACTTGAAGAAAGGAGAAGACATTTGAAGAGATCTAAAAGGCATCATATTAATGAGATAAACTGCATGTGCACAAGCATGGTACCAAAAGACTTGTGACAAACCAACAACAGACATAAGAGTAATAGCAGTTTCCACAATATGTCTATTGCGCCTCTCAACAAATCCATTTTGTTGAGGAGTATAAGGACAAGAAATCCTATGAAAAATGCCTTTAGAACTCAAAACTGCTGAAATTGTTTACTAACAAACTCCGCACCACCATCAGATTGTAAACATTTAACAAAACCGCCAAACTGAACTAATATAAAAGTATAGAACTTCACAAAAATGGCAAAAACATCTAATTTATTGAATAATGGAAAAATCCATACAAACTTAGTACAATCATCCACAAAGGTTACATAATACCTAAACCCTTCAATAGACTTTACTGGTGAAGGACCCCAAATATCAATATGGATCCTCTCAAAAGGTACTAAACACCTAGTGGACTCAGTAGGAAAAGGTAACCGGGACATTTTTCCATTTATACAATCAAAACAGATACTACATTGCTTATCAACTATAGAACTAAGCTGAGACTTATTTTAGTGGGGTGGCCTAACATCTTATGCCACACAGAAGACTTGATCATTTGCCCAAGAAAAGCTGAAGAAGTTGCACACTGCACAGGAATCTGAAACTGTTTGAACACAGTATAGAAACAGAAAACTTCAACAGTAAGTTTTCTTGATTGTATTGAATCAATAATTCAGTTGTACAGATGTGAATATATATAGCCTTAGCTGCCTTAGGCTAATTACAAGAATACCCTCAACTACCTTGACTAACTACAGTTACTAACAAAACTGATTACATTTAGCTTTAACAAACTATTTAACAGTAACTATATTTGATGACTTGTCATTCTCCCTAATACACAGGAATCTGAAATAGCTTATTTGGCTTACTCCTGCCTCTGTATAGTATCTCCTTTGTTACCTTGTCCTGCACAAAAAACTTAGTGTCATCACAAATAAACCAACACCAGTTATCCTTGCACAGTTGTTTAACATATAATAAATCTTCAGCTAAGTGAGGAACATGAAGAACTTTAGATAATTGAAGAGAATGAGAAGGAGTTTTAAGAACTGTAAAACCAATGTGCTTTATTGTCAAACCTTGACCATTCCCAATTTTAATTCGATCTAAACCATCAAAAGGAATGGGCTAACTGAGATTAGATACATCAGAAGTCATATAATGCGAGGCACCAGTATCCACAATCCAAGCATCTCCAGTTGGATAAAGGGCAACAACATGAGCATTCATGGCAGTCATATTAAAAAATGATGGAATAGGACCTGGAAGATGTGAAGTAGAACCAGGAAACAGAGCAGAAGAGGAAGAGTAAACATATTTCAGCATGTTATTGAAGGCAGGAGGTGGAGCATGGCCTTGAAACGCATAATTCCCACGATGGTAACATTCTAAAGCAATATGACCCCATTTACCACAGATTTGACATGCAATGACGGTTGAAGATGAACTTGAAGACCGATAATAGTAGTTAGGAGCGGTATGACCTCTCCGTTGACAAATCTGACATTCAGGCTACATATTAAACCATGAATCAGTATTTCCATTCCACTGACCTTGTCTAGAACCAGAATTAGAATCTCTACCCTTATGAAAATTGGACCTGAAGTTACCATTACCCCTCTGTTGATGCCCATTATATGATCTGTAATTAGATGAAGGTGTTATAGACATAAAACATTGAGATGAATTACCAGCAGAAAAACTAGACTTAGAATTACCAACAAAACCATAACCATATCCATATGGAGAAAACTGAACTGGAGGTGGCATAGGTAATGAGTGTTGCTGCACAGGAGACACTTGTAAAAAAGGTGGATGCTGAACGAGAGGAGCAGGATAAAGATCCAGGACGAATGGTTCCAACAGTGGCAGATGAAAGACTATCAGTAGAATGAGAATTAGAGGATGACCCCTATTCAATATTAGTTTGAGAACTAGAACCCTGAACATACATGGCAGCCATAGAATTGGACAAAATATGCTCCATACATTCAATATCCCTTTCGGTATTCAACAATTGGGCTCAAAATTCCTTCAAAGAAATAGAAGACTCCCGAGCTAAAATGACTGTTCTAATAATAGCATATTCACGAGGAAGACCAGCAAGAGCAGCAATCATCAAATTGTTATCAGATACAACTTCACCAACAACAATTAATTGATCACGAATAGATTTCAGTTTAGACAAAAATTTATCAATACTATCACACCCCCCCCCTTCTGCATTGTCTGCAATTCAGTCTTAAGCATGTTAATTTTGGACTTAGAAACAATAGCATATCTATCCTCAAGAATGGACCAAGCATCATGAGCAGTTTTGCATCCAAGAACATGGTCTATAGCATCATCCGATAGAGTAGCAATTAACAAGCTAAGAAGAGCTAAATCAATTGTCTCCCAATCTTGAAAATCAGAAGAAAGTTCTTTAGTAACCCCAGTCTCAAGACTAACAACAAATTTGGGTAGACATACAGATGTACCATCAAAATGAGCAAACAACTTGTATCCCTTAAGCACCAACTTAAATTGAAAAGCCCATTTAGAGTAATTGTTATCAATAAGACGAATAGTTAACATTCCCAGAATACTTTCAATCTTAACAGCAGATAAACCCATCTTTCAAAGAATCACAGTAATAACAGAGAAAATTTTGATTGGCAATAGGCCTCTGAACAATCAATTGGTAGTGACTTCGGTCTTCACCAATTTACAAACGACATCAGTCTTTCACAATATATCAATTCGAAAGAAAATTGAAATATGCAAGATTTAGGGCATCGACCTTTATCAAAATCTAAGGCATCGGCCTTCATAGAATCAACACAAATCAAACAATTGATGAAGAAAAGCAAGCGAATAGTACTCACAAACTGATGACGCAGCACGAAGCAAAGAAAGGTTACCAGCGTAATCCTTGTAGAACAAAGTTTACTAGAGTCCACCAGTTGATAGAAATCCGAAAGGATAATTTGATTAATTGATAAAAAGATGTCCTTAAATAAGCCTTTTACAACCTCTTGGAAAACTCAAAAGACTTAAGAAATTAAAATGAAAATAACTGACATATAATAAGCCCTTGAAACCCCAAAAGACTCCATTTATTAGTAGGCTGCTGTCTTGATGACTTTCTGCAAAAGATGGCTCAAGCCACTTTTGTGGGAGAATTATTTTAACACGTTTCTGCGAAAAGTGGCTCAAGCCACTTTTATGGGAAATTAATACCCCTTTTATGATTGCACCCTTTTGTCTTCCGACGTTCCATCTCCTCCTCGATCCATTCCGCCATTTGTTCTACATCAGTCCCCTCCACTTCAGAAGAACTCGACCCCGAGTTATGATCAGGATAAAGAACTTCATCATCATTGAAGGTATACAAATCAGCAACGTTGAAAGTATTGGAAATTCCCATAGACTCCGGCAAATCAATAACATAGGCATTGTCATTAATTCGCTTGATAACTTTGAATGGACCATACTTTCGTGGCTTTAACTTGCTATAAGTTCCAACAGGGAATCGTTCTTTTCTCAAGAACACCATGACAGAATCTCCTTCCTTAAACACTTTCACCCGCCGATGTTTGTCCACTGCTTCCTTATACTTAACATTGGTTTGTTCAAGCCGTTGCTTGACCTCATCACGAATTGCCACCACATCTTCAGCCATATTTTATGCAGCAATGCTAAGTCCATGTCCCCTAGGTAGCTTCACCAAATCACCACATGATGAGGAGTGGCAGTGTAAACAATGGAAAATGGTGACTTACCAGTAGCACGATGCACAGCACTATTATAAGAAAACTCCATCTGAGGTAGGGCATAGTCCCATTGTTTTGTTTTTTCTCCGCAAATGCTTCGAACCATGTTACCAAGAGTCCTATTTGTGACCTCTGTTTGTCCATCAGTTTGGGGATGTGCAGTAGTACTTCGATTCAAAGTAGTCCCAAACATTCTCCATAATGTAATCCAGAAATGACTCAAGAACTTGGTGTCTCGATCAGAAGTGATGGACTTAGGTACCCCATGCAATCGAACAACCTCCCTGAAAAACAGTTTGGCTATGTTTGATGCATCAGCGGTTTTTCTGCAAGCAATGAAATGAGCCATCTTGGAGAACCTGTCAACCACCACAAAAACTGAATCCATTCCCCTTGGTGTTCGGGGTAGTCCAAGCACAAAATCCATAGCAATGTCCTCCCAAATATCGTTAGGAACAGGTAAAGGCATGTAAAGACCCGTATTTTGGACTTGCCCCTTTGAAACCTGACAAGTGTAACACTTCCTCACAATGGCTCCAACATCCCGTTTCAATTGTGGCCAAAAGTACCTTTCTTCCAAACTTGCTATCGTCTTGTCACGACCAAGATGACCACTTAATCCTCCTCCATGCAAATCTCGAATAAGCTTTTCCCGCAAGGAAGAGATAGGAACACATAGTTGGTTACCTTTGAACAGAAAACCTTCGTTGATAGAGTAATCTGCCATAGGTTCATGATTGATGCATTTCCTCCATATTTCCTGAAAATCATCATCGGTTGTATACAACTCCTTTAAGCACTCGAAACCCACAACTTCTTGGGAAAGAGTGATTAGCAATGATGCTCGTCTACTCAAGGCATCGGCAACATAGTTTTGAGCTCCAAATTTGTGCTTGATAACAAATGGAAATTTTTGCAAGAATGTTACCCATCTGATATGCATTTTATTAACATGCTTCTGATTGTTAATAAACTTCAAGGCTTGATGATCCGTGAATAACACAAATTCTTTCTAAATGAGATAGTGTTCCCATTGTTTTAAAGCTCGAATCACCGCATAAAACTCCTGATCATAAGTGCTCCATTTTTTACGGGCTTCACTTAGCTTTTCAGAGAAAAAAGCTATAGGTCTCTTCTCTTGGGAAAGGACAGCACCCACTCCCACTCCACTTGCATCACATTCGACTTCGAATACTTTCTCAAAATTTGGAAGAGCTAACACCGGAGCAGTACAAAGCTTCACTTTGATCAAAACAAAGCTTTGTTCTTGTTCATCTCCCCAACGGAACTTGCCTTTCTTCAAACATTCTGTAATGTGTGCAGTGATGGTGCTGAAATGCCGCACAAATCTCCGATAAAAAGTAGCCAAGCCATGGAAACTCCTCACGTCGGAGACGGACTTCAGAGTTGGCCATTCTCGGATGGCCTTGGTCTTCTCATCATCCACTTGAATACTATTTTCACCAACCACAAATCCTAGAAATAGCAATTTACTTGTACAAAATATGCATTTCTTGAGATTCATATACAATTTATTTTCTTTCAAAACACCCATAACGTGTCTCAAATGCATCATGTGTTCTTCTCTGGTCTTGCTATAGATTAAGATGTCATCAAAGTAAACCACAACAAAGAGACCAATAAAGGGACGAAGAACCTGATTCATAAGCCTCATGAAGGTACTCGGTGCATTAGACAATCCAAATGGCATCACTAGCCACTCGAACAGTCCATCCTTGCTCTTGAATGCCGTTTTCCACTCATCTCCAGGCCTGATTCGAATTTGATGGTAGCCACTGCAAAGGTCAATTTTTGAAAATAATTTCGAACCTTCAAGCACATCTAGCATGTCATCTAACCGAGGTATTGGAAATCTGTATTTGATGGTAATTCGGTTAATAGCTCGGCTGTCTACACACATACGCCATGCTTTTTTCTTTTCCTTGTCTTTCTTTGGAACCAATAGGGCAGGTACTGCACAAGGGCTCATACTTTCTCGGATAAACCCCTTTCGCAGCAAGTCTTCAATTTGTTCCCTCAAAATCTCATTTTCTGCAGGGCTCATTCGATAATGGGGAAGATTTGGTAGGCTAGCTCCAGGTACCAAATCAATTTGATGTTGGATGTTCCTCATGGGAGGAAGCTCGTTAGGTAACTCGTCAGAAATGAGTTCATGAAATTCCTCCAATAATTGATGCACTTCTGAAGAGATTTGTTCCTCTTCTTTGTTTTCTGTCAATAGTCCCTTCATCACGATCGGAAAGAAAGAATCTGCTTCTTTTATGGCCCCTTCAATCTCCTGCTTATCACTAATTAGAGTGAGGAAACTAGTATTCTTTGCTTTTGGTACTTCAGAGGGCGAAACAGGAGCCATCGCAATCTTCCGATTATTCCAAGTAAATAACACCACATTTTCTCGACCCTTCAATGTCGAATCCACATCAAACTGCCACGGTCTCCCTAATAGTATATGACAAGCATCCATATCAATAACATCGCAAAGTACTTCATCACAGTAATGCTTACCAATGGAAAGTGGGACACGACAAGTTTCTGTGACATAGACGGAAGGTCCTTTGTTTACCCATCCAAGTGAGTATGGGGTGACATGAGGCTCCGTTGGTAGCTGTAAACGCTCCACCACTTTCTTGGCCACAAAATTTTCACAACTTCCATTGTCTACAATCACTTCGCAAACTTTGCTGTTGATGGAGCAAAGAGAACGAAAAATGCAGTGTAGTTGCCCATCCTCTTTTGGTGTTAAAAGAACTCGCTGCAACACCAAAGCGAGACGATCCATTCCTTCTTCAGTTGCGAATTCAACGCCTTCATAGTCATCATCACCAACTTCTTCTTGGTCCCCTTCAGCCTCCAACAAATTGGCTTGTCTCCGTTCAGGACAAACGTTAGATCGATGCCCGATTTTGTTGCAACGATAACAAATGTCTCCCATAGGCTTGGCGTACGGATTCTCCCTTGGAGGTTGGTTTCTATTCTGCCCCTTGTTAAAAGTTCTGCTACTCCCTTCATTTGCTGCTCGAGAAGAAAAACTTGAAGGTTTCAATTCTCCCGAACTTTGTGGCACAGATTTTCCTTTGTCGGTGGATGAGACAACATGGTTTTCAAAATGCTCCGTCACGTTCCTCCGGAAAGAGGTTTGTCGCCTTTCTTTCTCTATTATCTCCGCCTTCAAGGCCATGTTAATGGCCTCTTGCAAACTCCACAGATTTTGCAGCCCAATCTTTTCTTGAATGGAGGGTTTCAATCCATTCACGAACCTTGCAACCCTTTGATTTTCTGTCTCCATCAGATTGTTTCGCTCCGCAAGTCTCATGAAATCATCCGTATAATCAGTCACGTTTCTGTTGCCTTGGACGCAACTGATGTACATACGATACAAAAGCTGTTCATAATCCGCAGGTAAGAAACGATCCATCAAGAGTTGCTTCATTTTTCTCCAAGTGCGGATTCGATTCTTTCCTTGCCTCTGCCGAGTATTTTTGTAATTGATCCCCACCAAACAGCGGCAGTTGCTTTGAGACGGAAGGCCACCATCTTCACCATCTTTGTCTCGGGAACCTCCATGACATCAAAGAATCTTTCTACTTCAACTAGCCAATCCAGGAAATCTTCGATTTTAAGGTTTCCTGCAAAAGTTGGAATGTCGGCCTTAATCCGAAAGTCATCAAAGTTGTTGCGGTTTTGATGGTTTGGATTGTTAGCTGCATGTGGTTCCACATCTTTTTCTTCGGATTCCGATTCGCTGTCTTGAACACGGAGCCTAGGAACTCGTAGATTATTGACTCCAACAGCTCTATGATTATTTGGACCGATGGCTTGGACCAACATCTCACGAAGTTCTCCAATTTGAGTAGTCAAGTTTGTAATCTGTTCAGCTTGAGCATCCAAGTCTGCTCGAGTGATAGGGGCAGGTTCACGATCACGATCACCCATGGATAGATAGGATAATCAACGATGCCAAGACGGGAGAAACCCGCTCTGGTACCAATTGACGCAGCACGAAGCAATGAAAGGGTTACCAGCGTGATCCCTTGTAGAACAAAGTTTACTGGAGTCCACCAGTTGATAGAAATCCCAAAGGATAATTTGATTAATTGATAAAAAGATGTCCAAATGATTACAAAGTCATGGCTTAAATAAGCTTTTTACAACCTCTTGGAAAACTCAAAAGACTTAGGAAATTAAAATGAAAATAACTGATATATAATAAAGCCCTTGAAACCCCAAAAGACTCTATTTATTAGTAGGCTGCTGTCTTGATGACTTTCTGCAAAAGATGGCTCAAGCCACTTTTGTGGGAGAATTATTTAACACGTTTCTGCGAAAAGTGGCTTAAACCACTTTTATGGGAAATTAATACCCCTTTTATGATTGTGCCCTTTTGTCTTCCGACGTTCCATCCCCTCCTCGATCAATTCCGTCATTTGTTCTACATCAACTGAAGACACCAAATCGCATAAAAAAGAGCGTACAAAATCCCCCAAAGAAAAACCTAACTCGCAGAACTTGATTTCTCCTGAAAAATTCTTCAGCAATGGAAGCAGCGAACCAAACCAAATCAATCAAGAAGTCAGCAATTCCACAGAAGAATCACTGGCTCTGATACCATCTTAACAATATGAAAATCTAGGTTTTTGCAGTGAAGATTTGATCGAGAATTGTGAGAAAGAGAGAGAGAGAGAGAATTGTAAAGCGGGAAAACTTTTATTAACCGACTGAAAAACAAGGCACAGTAGCTATATATACGTTTTCCAATCTTAGCTTCTTAAGTACGCTACTACTAAGATTACATATTAAGCAATCAATCTACAAATGACAAGTGTACAAATGATAAACTGACAGATGGCAACATCTGTGTTATTACAGACTCCAGGGTGAAGCCCTTGAGATGGCTAGTCGTAAATCTACACAATGTGGACTGGAATTTGTATCTCAACACTCTCTTTTGGAATCTCAACTATTGGGACTCGATAAATACACTTGCCGGAGAGGTAGAAAACCCAAATAAAACTCTCCAAAAGGCTCTGTTTTATGCTTTGATATTAGTTGTTCTTGGATATCTCTTCCCACTCTTAATGGGTACTGGGGCTGTTCCACTCGACCGTGAGTTGTGGACAGATGGTTATTTCTCATATATTGCTAAAATAATTGGGGGAGTTTGGTTGAGATGGTGGATCTAAGGGGCTGCAGCAATGTCGAATATGGGGATGTTTGTTGCTGAAATGAGCAGCGACTCCTTCCAACTTCTTGGGATGGCAGAACGAGGGATGCTCCCTAAGTTTTTTGGTAAGCGGTCTCGTCATGGAACCCCAGAGATTGGCATTTTGTTCTCAGCTTCTAGAGTCCTTTTGCTATCTTGGTTGAGCTTCCAAGAGATTGTAGCTGCAGAAAACTTGTACTGTTTTGGAATGATTTTGGAGTTTATATCATTCATACGGTTAAGGGTGAAGTACCCAGCTACATCTCATCCTTACAAGATACTCGTTGGAACAGTTTGAGCCATTCTTATGTGTATTCCTCCAACCATACTGATTTGCGTAGTTTTGGCTCTTTCGACACTTGAGATAATGGTTGTGAGCCTTGTCAATATATTTGCAACACATTTTTCTTTTTAACAAAGCGACATTCTTAATGTACGGGAAATTCGAACTCAGATGTAAGGAGCGGACTGTTGGAAAATAGTTATTTATTTAGTGTTTAGATTTGGGCTTAGCCCATTAGAATTAGGTTTTCGTTTCCTTACTTATTAGAAACCAGGATTAGTTTATTATAAATAGCATGCTTGTTATTCAGTTTAGAATAAATCATTCACAATGTAACATCTTGGAGTTTTATAACCGTTTCGGCATTCTCGTTTATTTAATAATATTCTATTTGTAATATTTGTTCGTTGCACACTTTGATATTCAACTTGGTATCAGAACAGATTCGATCCTTCGAGTTCGATTGTGGTTTGTTTTGTTTCGTACTAGATTAGGGTTTTGTCGTTGAAAAAAAAAAATTTTGGAGTTTGTTTGCTTTGCACCCGCACCGCAGTGACCATTCTCCGTTAGTTGTCAAAAGGAAACCCAGAACCGGCACCGTACTTGCACCCAGTCACTATCGCCTACCCGCCTATTGAATTGCGATGATCACGTCGCATCTGATTGGTTCCGCCCAAAGTCCGCATCGTCGCCACTGCCTGACCCACGATTGCGTCTGACCGCTGCTCTCGCCCACACCAAACTTGTTACGCACCACCACTATCTCGCACCAGCCTACTTGAACCCTTAAACCCGTCTGCCCTACCACCGCTGCTGCTCAACCAGAGAACCACAAACTTGGATTGAGTTTGTCTTCGCCCTGTACTCTACTGCAGTTTCGAACCCACTGGAACAACCGCTGCACCAGAATGCCATCACCATCGGACGCTATCACCACCACTTACCGTCTGCAACCAAAAGTCTTGCCGTCGCTGTTTGCACTTGTTCGCACAGAAAAAGAAAGAAGAAGGAAAAGAAAGAAAAAAATAGAAAAAGAAAACAGGAAAAAAAGAAAAAAGTATAGAGCTCACAATCTGTTGGGCTATTATGATTTGTTTGAAGGCCATTGGTTGGTCCTTGTTGATTGGAGCCTGGATTGTTCGTTTGCTCGCTTGCTCATCCGCTTGCCTTGTCGTGTCCGCCTAACAGAGCTTGCCTTGTCTTATCTGTCTAACGAAGCTTGCATCCGCATTTGGTTATTGGTAAACTCATGATGTATTGGTAAACTCATGATGTGTACCACCATGAGTTTGATGAGGTGTTGGAAAATAGTTATTTATTTAGTGTTTAGATTTGGGCTTAGCCCATTAGAATTAGGTTTTCGTTTCCTTAATTATTAGGGACGAGGGTTAGTTTATTATAAATAACATACTTGTTATTCAGTTTAGAATAAGTCATTCACAATGTAACCTCTTTTAAGTTTTGTAGCCGTTTCGGCATTCTCGTTTATTTAATAATATTCTATTTGTAATCTTATTCGTTGCGCACTCTGATATAACTGGGTTCTCTCTAAATCTGCACAAATCACATCATTAAGGTGTTTCAAGTACCTTAACCGTTATTAAAACAATATACCAAACACAACATTTTAGGGTTAGTTACAATACCCGTGATGCATCGAGATAATAATGAAGTTGTTGAAGATAAAGAATCTGTTTCGTTAAATCTCAGCTTTACATTTTACGTTGCATCAAAACGTAGCGTTGTATTGTAAATTTCGCAACCTCACTACCTTTGAGTGAACAATTGATATCCAAAATTTGCATATAAAGTCTACAGAGTAAACTGTCGATTTGCCCCCTGAACTATCACCCAACTTTCGATTTGCCCCCTGAACTTTTTAATTGGAAAATTAAGGACTTAAACTAATTTTTTTTGCCAATTTGCCCCCTGCTATTAATTTTTCATTCATTCCATCCAAATTTCTGTTAAATGGAAGCATATGCACAACATGTGTGGGTAGTTCGGTCACTTCATTCTTTAAAATAATTGAAAACCTTAGATTTCTAAAATATAAACCTATGCAAATATGTGTGATTCTATAGCTTTTCTATCTGAAGGTCTAGTGAAATGACGCTTTTGTCCACAAATGAGAGTTACGTAGTTTGCACATGATGAGAGTTAATGTTAATTTGGATGAAATTTATGAAAAACTAACGGTAGGGGGGAAATCGGCCAAAAAAATTAGTTTAAGTCCTTAATTTTCTAATTAAAAAGTTCAGGGGGCAAATCGAAAGTTGGGTGATAGTTCAGGGGGCAAATCGGCAGTTTACTCAAAGTCTACATATAAATAGACACCTGTCAAGGCGCCAACTCCATTTTCTTAGAAAATTTGAAAATTTAAAAGACAGAGCTAAGAGAGGAAAAACTGAAAGAAGACGAGTAAGCGACGGGAGAGATGAAGAAAAGCGTGGGAAGTGGAAATCGAACCCGGAGATGCATAACAGAAAAGTTTCTGGAAACGCGGTTACAATTTCCAGTGGCTTCTTCCCCTCCAAACCAGCCGTCACCGAAATCGCCAATTTTCAATGCCAGCAGCAGGCGCAAGAGGGCGGCCGTCGCTGCCGGAGGAGGAGCCTCAGCCTCTGTTGCGGCGGCGATCATGGAATCCCCCAAAAGTAACGCTTTAGCTTCGATTCCTGATCTCAAGCACCTCGCCTCCTCTCGTCTCCGCGATCTCAAGCTCCACGTCGACAGATCCCACTCTGAGATCCTCAAGGATTTTGATTCCTCTCAATCTCGCCTCCACAAGCGATTCAAGGTCTCTCTCTTTCTCTCTCATATTGATTCTCTGTTGTCGTACTGTTGCATTTTTTAGTCTCGGAGTTGGTGGATTAGTGTCTGTTTGGTTGCTGAGAAAATACCTGAGAAAACAGAAATTTGAATTCTCGCCAAGTAATAACATTATGTTGATTTAATCTCACTTTCATATCATAATTAAATCTCATTACTGTTATAAGGTCTGCTAAAGCAAAATAAATTTAAATCTAATTAATTCTTAATTAAAATTAAAACTTAATGTCTATTTAATATAAGGTTTTGTCTGCTGTATGATGAACTAGTACTCAGTGGTAGTAATAGTTAGGGAATAGGAGCATTAGAATTCAGTGTAGGGCATGATTTTTTTCGCCTAATTATACGTCTCTTTGTGCCGTCAGATCCAGAGCCAGGCATGCCAACAAGTGTTGGATGAAGCAGATAAGGAAAACAAGAAGATGACCCAAAGGATTACCGAAAGTCGGGAAGCAATGGCGGTATATTAATCTAGTCTTTCTTTGTTTCGTTTACTTACTTCTGATTGTATGTTTGTAGTGCTTATTCATCAAGTGCATCCTACTGCTTTTTTATCAGGCTTCATATGCAGAGTTCATGGCAGATGCACAGACCACCGCTTCTCGTGGTATGTCTTCAGTTTAAAACCTCTCTGCCATGCTTAAAATATGTGTATTTTTGTAAGTTATGTCTTGGTAATAATGTCGTACTGATGGAGTCTGGATTCAATCATCTCTACTAACCAACATTCTATGTTGCATTACCAACAAAACATTTGAGAGACGTCGTTCATTTTGAGGGTTTGACGAGTGATTATTGTGTCCATATGTGGAAATCGTTTTTAATCTCATGTTTGAAGTGATACAGGTTGGATAACATTTCTTTATCTGTTAAGTTTCACATTGCTATTAAAACTATTGGGGCGGTAATGGCTAACTATTTAGTGTGCTAACTTAGGTTCTTCAGTTTGTTAGCTGTTTTGTTTTCCGTTTAGCGTCTGTTTTTTCGTTCTCTTCACTGCTCCCTTTTAATTAGTTCCCGGCCCTACGCTGGAGCTTGTTCAGGTGGGGTTTTAGGCTCTGTCCCTTTTGAGTTTTCTTGTTTGCCTAGTTGCCTTTGTTCTAAGAAGCGAATCATTGATCAAAATCAAGATATTGTATAACTGCGGAGAAGAGAAAGAAGATTGAACAAACAAGAAAAGAGTGACAAATAATAAATTGCTTCCTATGAATCATTAATAATGACTTATAAGTGCTTGGTAACAAATTAACAATCTAACTTGAGCCAACAATGTATAAACTACTGTTATTCATTCTGAGTACTTTTTCTCTGGGTTGTATTTCATACTTTTCAGCTTGCAAAACATCAATCGCTGAGCTTTCGCAGTCCTTTGAGAAACAAATCGATGCTCTTCGCAGCCGTTATGGCATGTCAACAAATTAGCAATCAATTGTCCTTGCAATATGATCTACTGAAAACCTTAGGTGAGTGTTCTACTTTTTAAAACTGTTTACTGCTGGTGGGATGATTCAGTTTTAAGTGTTTTTAAGTGTCTGATTACGCTGTTCTGTTTTACTGCATATGCTGTACATAAATTTACATTCATTACAACCTGTACTAGATTTGAGAAAGAAAAAGAGAGGAGAGAAAGTAGGTTGTCAGTTGTAGAGTATCGGATGGATGCTCGTGATGGGATATTAATGAATTGCTAGAACAAGGGAGACATCTTTTAATAGATTCAAAGGAGTTCAGATACTTGTGCTATTTCATCTATTTTGGTGGAACATTGTTGGATCAATTAATCTTCAGACTCGTAAATGTCGACCTAACAAGCAAATATAACACTTAATAAACAGCTGCACAATTCATATCTCCAAGTTTGAGTGAGAAATACGACAGTACTTGCATATCTCCACCTATGTTTGAGTAAGAAGTATGACAATACTTGCGTGTCTCCAACTATGTTTGGGTAAGTTCGAGTAAGAAGTATGACAATAATTGCGTGTCTCCAAACTAGACGGAGACAAGCGATTTGGGGAGGGGGAATCGAATTCAGTTTCTATTTCAATATAACCTGCAAAAGTATTTATATGAATTATCATACCCTGAGCTCGTTCATAGTTTATAGCCCTCGTACCTTCATATGCAGGTTTTTTACGTTGTTGGTTTGTGTTTTCAGGCATGTATAGTGGTGACGATAGCAATCGAGACTCCAACGGATCTTGAACAAGAACGACTGATTGGATCAAAAGGGATTTGAAACCATAGCTTGTAGTGGTTTCATTACTAAACAGAAAACTGCATTTCAAAGTATATTTGTGGTAACATGATGAAACATAAAGTCATTGGGTTGTGCATGAGTGGCTGAATGTTACGCTAGTAAATAATTTAGACCAGTGCTTAGCTTTGTGCCTAATGTGTCTATTGAGTTAAGCCCTAAATAATTAATTAGTTCACAAAATTAAATCCGAATATGTTAAGATCTTAATTTCCTTCTTACCCTCTAATTTAAGATGTTAATTTCCTACTTGCATTGGATTTATTTTGATTTCCATGCCAATAAGAGTCCTTTTTCGAGGGTTGTGAGCGCGTTTCCACAAAGGTAGTAACTGGTTACGAGTAAGAGGTCATAGCATGGACGATCCTTACCCGTGAAGTTAGTTTACTTAGAGCTTGTGATGGCCTCCTCGACATTAGACAGAAAAATGATACGCCAAATGAAAATCTGCGCCCAAGTCTTCAGTTTCATCAAGAATCCATGGTCTCTCATGTCCATTGCTAGGCACAGAATGGCGCCGAAACATACCCTTCTTATCTTCGACGGAGTGTCTCGGTTGCAAACTTGCAATTTTTGAGTGTGGCAAAAACAAGTGAGCATTCCAGACAGTAAGCTATCTGCTGAGAAGAAAACAGTTGCCAAATGCAACCTTCGACATACAGAGCTTTTGCAAACCATGAAGGCATACATGACCAAGTAAACTCTGTATTAGCCTAGCTTAAACCAATTCGAGCCATTGCCCAACAACGAAAGTAAAAGGCAACAGAGAACGACTTTGAAACACAGTTTTATTTGGAAGACGGAGAAAAAAAGAACACACTTTCTAACAAGTCTTTAACCGTTGATACCCTATAAACGTAGTACAAAGAGCTACATGTTGCTTAGGCTACAGCAGTTAGCTGCTTGACTAAGGTCGTTCTACCACACTAGTCTCTTCTAGAAGCTTCATTCCTCCTCGTCTTGCATATCATCGGCAGTTAGAAGATGATTCAGTGCAACTTTGGCCTTTTTACGTTCCCCTGCGGCTTCCTCAGCGTCATTTTTGTCTCCCTTCCGCTTCAGACTTTCATCCTCAGCCTGTTTATTGTTCCCAGAGGTTGCAGCTCCACCTTCCGGTTTCACTTCTTCCTGCACGGATGTCTTTGGATCAGATTCTTTATCTTTCTGTTTACCATCCATATCTTCTGTCTTGGATGACCTTTCACACTCTTCTAAACAAGAGCGGACATCATCGCTGTTAGCAAGATCAAGAGGGGTCTTCCCAGCTTTTGTCTTCGCACTCAGATTGGCACCTTTCTTTACCAGATACTTGATAAGCTCGACATGGGACCCTTGAACAGCATAGTGCAGCGGAGTGAGGCCTTTGCGAGTGGAAGCTTTTACAGAAGCCCCAGACGAAAGCAGAGTGCGAACGACCTCCAAATGTCCCTTTTGGGCAGCAAAGTGTATAGCACCCATATCGTCCATAGCAGCAGCACCAACATCCGCCTTGTGGCTACAGAGAAAATTCACCACCTCCGTTTGGCCAGACCATGCCGCTAAATGTAGTCTTTGATCAAGACCACTTGTCAAGGAAACATAATTTGAATTCTACATTGTGGACACTGGACACTACAATACGAAGATTAAACTTGAACAGGGCACGAAACTTAGATCGAAAAGATTTCAGGAAACTAGGAAATTTAACGATGAATAAATACTCAGCACAAAAACCCGAGCCAGCTACTTTCTAAGTTGCCCGGAAAGTATAGCAAGTCGAGTAACTAAGAACAAATCTTTACAATTTACATCCATATGAACAATGCGGTGACTAAATACATCTTTTTCGGATAATCGATGTAAAGGATTCGGCCATTTATTATCCTACAACGCCACTGCGCTCGGTTTATGCGATTCATAGCATCATGGCATTCAAAATTGAAGCAAATTCATTCATATATACATTCTCACAGGCAGTGAAGTGTGTGTAGAGAGAGAGAGAGAGAGAGAGAGAGAGAGAGAGAGAGAGAGAGAGAGAGAAGGATACGGAGTTCTGGAGTGCTTGTCTCTGGAATTGACGGCGAGAGGGTTGGAGGCGAGAATTGACTGCAGTGAAGGAAGATTACCGGACCTTGCAGCTGCGTGAACATTTTCGCTCGCCATGTGCCTTCTTCTCTCTTCAGCTACTGAAACACAACAACGAGGAAAAGGTGTAAATTGCAGTGTCTGAATTTATCAAAAACCCTAAAATCCTTCGACACTCAAACAGACCATCCTTCAAATTAATTTAAAATTTTAAAACTGAAAAAAAATTTAACATTTTTTTTATAAAAGCAAATAGATAATTATAAAATTATCTTTTGGAAAAAAAAAAGAGTAAATTGTAGCAATGGTCTCTCAACTTCAATCAAATTGAAGTAATAGTCCCTCAACTGCTATAATCATTTTTATCAATTTTGTCAAAATTTTGTCAAAATAAGTTATGTTGGAATAACTATTTATATAATTAGGATCCCTCAACTCATCAGAGTGTGTAATTATGGTCATTTTCGTCAACTACATCAAAAATTTTGTCAGAACGAGTTATGTTGGAAGGACCATTGCCACAATTTGGTTAAAGTTAAGGGACCATTTCTTAAGTTGAATTAAAGTTAAGGGACCAATAATAATGAATTTTTACTTAAGGAACCATTACTCTAATTGAATTAAAGTTAAAGGATCGTAGCTACAATTTACTATTTGAGAAATATTCGAAGGCATCGAACCTTCGATGTGCCGTAGAGCTCTAGTACGAATTAGTAACTTAATGCAAGGCTAAACATTCAATTTTTATTTAAGCATTTGTCAAACGTTCGTCTTTACAACGATTAATCAAAATTCAAAATCGATTCAGTATTTAGCTATTATATAAGACTAGATTTAGAATAAAAAAAAGAGTCTGGAGATTCGCTGTTTGAATACGTAGTGCCATGCATCTCAAATCTTCACAAATTGCCGAAGATCAGTGTAATGGCACCATAAATTGCCACTTCTCGCCCTCTTTACATTCGTACGAGTGTGCTTGATGCATGCAAATTTTCTAATTACTATTTTAATCAGTTATTACCATTTCCTTCATTTGAACAAATCTAAAAAGTTCTTATCATTTAACGATCAATTCGGAAAATCTATGATTGAAATCTTTAATATTCTTTTAGTTATTTCTTGTATTTACACAATATAGTTACCCGCTAGTACTAAGAACATCCAAAATCCTAATGTGCTATGAAATAATTATTATCCTTTGATTACCTTTTGAAAAACCTATGAATGAAATCTTCAGTTGTGTTTGATATTTAAGCCCAATATTGTCACCCATTGTTACTATAAACTTAAAGAAACCTCATAAACGAAAGAAAGATGAGAAAGTGAGGAAGAAACCTATTAGAATTAGAGACAACTTCCAAAACAAGGTGGAATAAACAAGAATCAGAGGTATCCTCCCGAAGAAGATCATTCCCTTCTCTTTTTTTCGAAGAAAATGATGATATTGACAAAATCGATGAAATAAAAAAGATCCAAGTCATGATCTTACACACGAAAAGTTTACATGCTGAATACTAAGTAATTTGTTTTCTAAACCTATTTCTTGTAGGATTTGCATATGTCATGTTTTCTATTCTTACAGAGTTCGACTAAACTGCATTTTTAATGATAGGATTTTTACCACCTGTAAAAGTAGGGATAAAAATACTTAAAAATATTTGTAAGAGAACAAGGTAGTTGTAGTATAAACGACTCAAACAAGGTTGTTTCCACAGTGATTGATTGAATAATTTGTATTTAAACTAATTCTTAATTAACTATTTAAAACAAAGTTTCAAAAATGTTGATTTTATGACCTAGAATATTAAAAACGAATTTTAAATTAAAACAATTAAAGAAACCAATTTGAAAGGGAACAATCTTAGAAAATAATGATAGAAGGACACTAAGGTTCCGCCATCATCTTAACAATCTTATGTAGTTTTACCAATTACTTATGAATTACACGTGCAACTTTGAAGGTTAGGTTTTCCTAATGCATATTCTACTCGTGGTATTCAAGTTAGAACGTATATCAAACATGTAATCCATCTGTGGTATTCAGATCAAATATAAACATGCATGACTCATTACGTTTTGTGAAAACCCTTTGAAAAATCATGTAACCCCTACGACGCGGTATTCACCCTAGGTGAAATTACAACTATCAATTACTAGAAGCAATACTTAATCCCCCGGTGGTATTCTGACCGAATTGCATCCGATTACTTATCTAAACATCCTAATGGTCGCGAATCATTAAAACACAAAGACAGTTTAAACACAGTGATTAATAATTCAAAGTATGCATGCATAATATCATAAGTAATTAAATAAAAACTACATATTTAGCTCAAGGCATCACCCTAGCGAACGAAAATTAGTTACGAACAACCATAAAACAAAAGGAATTTGATTGAAATAGAAAAAGAATAGAAAACACCTTGAAATACAAATCGTCAAAGCCTAACTAAGTTCTCCAAATTGATGCATTCCCTTTTCTAATGGCTAAATAGCCTTATTTATACTACTACAAAATAAAATCCTTACTAGAAAAGGTCTTCTAAAAATTAGGAAACATAATAGAATAAGATAATTAGGAAAAAAAAGGTTTCCTATTTGAACTGAAATTTGGACTTCTCAGAAAATCAGACTTTTGACCGACTAAATCAACTCCGATTTGGTCCCAAAAGGTCTCTTATTAAAGCTTGAGACGTCCCCAACAAATCCTCATAAGGAATCTTCCTTAAAATATGTCATCTTGCCCTCAAAAATACCCAAAACGTCCAGAAATGTCAATTTGGAAAAGCTGTGCGGTGGGCCTTCTTTTTATAATCAAACGACTTGGTAGAAAAATATAGAATTTTGATACAACATCTTGAAAGACTCACGAACATCCTCCAATTAGAATTCATCCGTTTGATCACTTTTTGCTCCAGATGAAGTCAAATATCCTACATTGAAAATACATAACAAAGTATCAAAGTTCTACCAAAATAACCAATAAATTATAACTAAGAATAGGATAAAATATATGGTATAATATGGACTCATCAGACAACAAAGAAAATGAGTTTAAATGGAATAAATCTAGAGATCTCAAAGAAAATGAGTATAGTAGGAATAGATTTAGAGACTCACCTTGAAGCAACTTAGGTTCTTGAGAGAAATGCCAAAAATTTGAAGACAAAGCAACTAAGGTGTTAAACTCATTCAAAGGGTTTAGCCCTCTATTCTCTCCCGTCCTGGTGAGAGTCCTTCTCTCTCTTTGAGAGTTTCTTCCATCGTCTATGCGCGTTTCACTTCCGATTCTGATCTCCCTCTCGGTGTTGGCCCTAGCTATGGCTAGGGTTGGTGGCAACCCCCTGTTTCCTTTTCTTTTTATTTTCTCCTACCTGCATTTTCCCTGCTTTTGTTCCCGATCTCTTGTCCTCTATACCTTCTTCCTGTCCAATTCCCTAATCTGAGCCTCAAATTCTGATTCCCTTTCACTCCTTCCATCTCCGTCTCTTCCCCCCTTCGTTTTTGTCCTTCCTTCTCAGACCACTTCGCCCCTTCCCCTTACGCAACCACAATCTGCACTCCCATCTTCTTACCGCGGTGTGTCGCGACTTTATTGGAAGGTGAGTAGAGCTCTTGCTCGGGTGTTTGCACCACCTCCTTCCTTGTCTTTGCCTTTCTTGGTGCTCTCTCTGATGGGGTGTGTTTTCCCATTGGGTTCCTTGATTTTGGGAGTGGATTTTGTGGTGTTGTTTGCAGGGTGCTGGTGCAATGGTTTCCTTCCTCACCGGGGTTTTGATTAGTTGGTTCGCTGGGCAACTAGTGATGGTGGCGTTGGAGATTTTCGACGACGGCGAGGACCTCAAGGTTCTAGGATGTTCTAGCTTTCTCTGTGCTTGTTCTAAGCCCCAAGCTTTGTTTTGGGCTATTTTGTGTGGCCTTTTGAGATCCAATGTTTTGATTTATACTTATGTTGTTGGTGGACCTCTTTGTATCTTAGTTTGGCCTTTGGCCCTGGAATAAAATGTCCAGTTTACCAAAAAAAAAAAAAAAGCAACTAAGGAGTTTTGAAAATCAATACCTGACTGTAGAGATCAAATTAAGTTAAAAAAAAAACAATATTATGAGATTAAGTTTATCTATACTATTATTAAGAGAACCTTCCTTGTCAACTTTTTGCCACATTTTTTTTTTCAATTTTGCCCTCACAATACTTACACAAGGAGGGCAAAATAGTAATTTTGTATCTTTTGATAAAATGACAATCATATCCCTATTTTTTCCATTTTACCCTCACTTTTGATATACAATATTTACATAAGGAGGATAAAACAGTAATTATGTAATATTAAGATAAAATATTCACTTATTAAGAGAAATTATCTCACCATCATTTTTTTACTCTTTTTAAAATTTTAAAAACTAATCACACTCTTTAATAAAAAATAAAAAATAAAATTGTTCACACACAAAGTGTGTGCTGGTTGATTAGTTTATACATAAGACCATGTTCGGAACCAAAGCACAACTCTGGAGATTCGATCTTCCAATGTATGGTGTCATGTATCCCAAACCTCCATTAATAGCCAAGGGTCACTCCATGCGCACCATTAATTGCCACCTCGCTCTCACTATATTTGCACACCAAATGTTGTTTCTGTATGCAAAATGTCTAATTTTTTCTCCTTTTTAAAGCAATTACTAATTTATTGTTTTGTTTCCTTGCAAATAATAGGATAATCTACACTTAATTAACTTGTTTGAAATCGGGACGGAGTAGTTTTAACTTTGGAGAGGAATATCCTATCCATCAAGACAATTTTCTACTTGCAATCCATTAGTTCTCTATTTTACCCCTTGGTGTTTGGTGTTCCCTCTTTTTAATTTTTTTTTTTTTTCAGAAAACCAAATCAAGTTGTAAGTCTTGCATGCATTGCTTGAGAAATTTCGTATCTTATACCAGATTTTCACTAATTTAACTTCTTAATATAGGATTGTGGAGTTTAATTTAAGTTTCTTCGTTAACTTTTTATGGTTTAAAAGTGGTTTCGATCAAATCAACTCAAACACCCAATTAGACAAATGCCACGAAGAACTAGAAGGATTCTAAGTTATTAAAAGCATGTGTACTACACGTGATGATTCTCAGTTTCAACTCATAAATGACGAGAATGATTTAACATTTATATTAAATTCGATACTTAGTTGTAATTAGGTCATTGCGGCTTGGCCTAAGGCCACCTCGCCTTATCAGAATATCATTGTATAAGACGAAGTAACCTCCATTTGCCGTTGCCCAAATTATTTCATGCGGTATACATTTCAAATTGACCTTCGCACCTAATGCGACGTATCATGGAAGAAAAATTGAAACACAAGCAGCTTGGTCTTCCTTACTCTAGAATTTCCAAAGTTACGAATAAGCTTTACCGTTTTACCAAACCTTAGTTATATAAAAAGGGCAACCCTAAGCTAACAAGACTCCCCGCTTTGTGAAAGTCGGGAGGAACGTCTAAGTAGCTTAGTTATATATATAAATTTACTGTGCATCAAGCGTTGACATTTGTCTGCTTGCTTTGTCTTCCTCATTGAACCTGTATAAATTCTCAAGATCCTGAAGTTAACTGCAAACCAGAAGTTGATGAGTTTCAAACATTGCCAGTTTCTGAAAGGACTCTCTCTATCTCCTCTACGAGCCGTTCTTTTTCATCCATTAGATCTTCATTTTGCTTCTGCAACTCCTCTATCTGCTTAGTCTGCTCAGAATCCTTCCTGAAACAATGCAACACTTAGATAATCAATAAAATTTCAGATAGAACACCAAGGCGTGTTTCTAGCAGTCAAACCAAAGGCTTTCGTGCTCCCAAAAAGACCCTGTCAGTTGATTTGATCTAACTGGCAATACTTTCCAAAGACTTTGCTCGACAATTCACTAGCTCTAGCACTTAACCGAGAGGTTTAACTAAGTTTCGGACCAACGAAACCTATTAACAGAAGCTAGTTAGAAGCTCTAACGACAGCAAGTTTTCTGAACCATAAAAATCTTGATTAATACAACTAGAAAGTTTATGTCCTTTAGCAAACAACTGCACCATTCCGTCTTAGATACGGATATTCAACGGTTGTATGCATAATGTGACTTGAGTGAAAGAACAAAAAAGTTGCTTCATACGCGGAAACATCAAAGTAGAAAATTCTGAGGAAATGAAAGCTAATCTGTTTCGTTACCTATTCATGAAGGACAGGTTCAGTTTGAGTGATCGCACTTCCTTTTCAAGATTTTCGCACCGCTTCAAGACAGATTGCATATCAGATGGAATTACTGGAGTTGAGTTCCTTCCCTTTGCCTCCGCCATTCTACATTGACAAGAAACTTAACGTAAATATAACCTTCTCATCTCTAAAACACATGTAGCACTTTCTAGATAATTTCTATTGCCTCATGTTGCCTACAAAGATATGTTCCGGCATCACTGGAACCTGCTCACTGATTTTAACATAAAATCCTCCTAGAATTCCTAATAAAAGTCACAGTCTTCAATACGAAAAGTTCACTCTTCAATGCGATCAATTTGACGTCAGACAGTAAGTGAGATATGTATGCTGGTGTTTTTTCCGCTATCGTATCTTATGCGAACCCGTGTGCATAAAATAAAAAATAAAAAATAAAAAATAAAACTGGAATTAAGATTCAATGGATAGCCAAATAAGTAAATCTGCTCCCATTTGTTAACAAAAAATATGGAAATAAAGAAAGGAAAATCTAAAATTCGAAGAAGAGAAGTTTTTTCGGGGGAAGACAATACTATCCCCCATTGTAGAGATCAAATTAAGTTTTAAAAAATAAAAAATAAAAACAATATTATGGGATTAAGTTTATCTATACTATTATTAAAAGAACCTTCCTTATCAACTTTTTACCACTTTTTTTTTTCAATTTTGCCCTCACAATACTTACATAAGGAGGGAAAAATAGTAATTTGCATCTTTTGATAAAATGACAATCATATCCCTATTTTTTCTATTTTACCCTCACTTTTGATATACAATATTTACATAATGAGGACAGAACAGTAATTATGTAATATTAAGATAAAATATGGACTTGCCCATTTTTTTCTTATTTTGCCCTCACTTTTGATACACAATACTTACATAAAGAGGGCAAAATAGTAATTTTGTATCTTTTGATAAAATGACAATCATATCCCTATTTTACCCTCACTTTTGATACACAATATTTACATAAGAAAGACAAAACAATAATTATGTAATATTAAGATAAAATATTCACTTATTAAGAGAAATTATCTAACCATTATTTTTTCATACTCTTTTTAAAATTTTAAAAACTAATCACACTCTTTCATAAAAATAAATAAAATGAAATTGTTCACACACAGAGTATGTGCTCATTGATTAGTTTACACATAAGACCAGGTTCGGAACCAAAGCACAACTCTGGAGATTGATCTTCCAATGTATGGTGTCATGTATCCCAAACCTCCATTAATAGCCAAGGGTCACTCCATGCGCACCATTAATTGCCACCTCACTCTCTCTATATTTGCACACCAAGTGTTTTTCTGTATGCAAAATGTCTAATTTTCTCTCTTTTTTAAAGCAATTACGAATTTATTATTTTGTTTCCTTGCAAATAATAGGATAATTTACACTTAATTAACTTGTTTGAAATCGGGACGGAGTAGTTTTAACTTTGAAGAGGAAGATCCTATCCACCAAGGCAATTTTCTACTTGCAATCCATTAGTTCTCTATTTTACCCCTTGGTGTTTAGTGTTCCCTCTTTTCAATTTTTTTATTTATTTTTCTTCAGAAAACCAAATCAAGTTGTAAGTCTTGCATGCATTGCTCGAGAAATTTCGTATCTTATACTAATTTAACTTATTAATATAGGATTATGGAGTTTAATTTAAGTTTCTTCGTTAACTTTTTATGGTTTAAAAGTGGCTTCGATGAAATCAACTCAAGCACCCAATTAGACAAACGCCACGAAGAACTAGAAGAATTCTAAGTTATTAAAAGCATATGTACTACACGTGATGATTCTCAGTTTCAACTCACATAAATGACGAGAATGATTTAACATTTATATTAAATTCGATACTTAGTTGTAATTAATTAGGTCATTGTGGCTTGGCCTCAAGCCACCTCGCCTTATCAGAATATCATTGTATAAGACGAAGTAATATGAAGAGTGACAAAATGCCCCTACCTGCTAAATTGACACAAAAAATTATCCCATTTGCTGCTGAAACCACCTCATCTATTGAGAAGAATGAGGTTTCTCGTGCTGGCGGTCATAAGAAATCCACCAAGTCTATTTCTAGGAAAGTTGCTGAGATTTGTGTGCTTCTGAAATCATATTTGCTTGAGGACATGGATGTATGTGCTAAGTTTGTTGATGGTATCAAATGGATTGTTGGCCCGAGCTCATTTGCGAAGCATACGACCGAGTACAGAATGACTGCTTTACTAGCCATGATGCAAAAAACGACAATTCTGGCAGCCGAGTCTATGCTTCTTGATCAAGAAGATACCAAAGCTGCCAATGAAGTGGCAAGAACTGTGGCAGCCGAAGCTTATTCCTCGACCGAGAAAGTCAAGAAATTGGAATCTGAGCTTGCTGCTTTAAAAAGGTCTAATGTATCTGCCCCCACTTCTCTGCAGCTTGAGACTGTTTGCCAAGATATCGTGGATTTGAAGACTAGGCTTGACGCGATCCAAGTAAAGTATGAAAGTGCAGAGAAGAAGGTCGAGTGTTACATACCTCAAATTCAAGATCTTGAGCGATCCATCTCAGAATTCCGCTCGCTGTTTATGTAAAGGATGAATAACTGATCGCTGTTTACAACCAAGTGATCCACTTCAAGAAGGTTATTGATAGGCTTGAGCTCAAGTGTTGGAACTCCAAGGTGCCCTGAAGATCAACGACAATCTGAAGAAAGAAGTAGAGGAGTTGCAACAGGTTCGTGTTTATCTGCTCGAGGAGAATGAGCAGCTGAAAGGTGAGAATGTTATGTTCGAGGCTTCGTTTACTTAGAATCAAGCCGATTTCTACAAGCTGGGTTACGTAGATCATCTCTTTGGGCAGCCGTCTGACTTTGAATTTTCTGGTAAAGACTTCGAGACCTTCTCTATTTCTCTAGAAGACTTGCTCATATTTACCTTTGAATCTTCTATTGGTGAAGTAGTTGGAGAGGTTAGTACCCAGGCTGGGGCAGCTGGGGGTGAAGCACCAGATGATGCCGCTACTGAGGGTTTCACGGTTACTGAAGGTGTGGCGACCAAGTAGTCGTGGGATGTCCAAGCTGCTGAAGAGTAGTCTTCTAAGTTGCCTTTAGGATTTTCTTTGTTTTCCTTGTTGCTTTTGTTTTGCTTGAACTCATTCGATCTTTACTAGTTGTTTATCAATTTTGCTAGAAAATTTAATAAACTTGTTTCCTTCACTTTTCTCAATCTTTGCTTATTTTGTTCATGCCCTAACTTTTAGACTTTATAGACCATTAGCAAGCATGCTACTTTTTTATAAGCAAATAGGCTGCGTAGTCTATGCAGTCGTAGGTGCTGGTGTAGAATTTCACAAAGTTGTTAGCCATAGGGTCAGCAGCTAGATGTCTTACTTATAGAAGCAGACAAGTCCGTGTAACCACTAAGTTGTTAACCTTGGCTTTCTCCAATTCCGTAGGTTGCGTAGCAAGTATCACAACACTTTAGGACTTGGTGTAGATTGTTTCGTGCTTAGCAGAGGTGAAGTTTATCGCCTATGCAGCATATCGGCAATGGATAAAACTTCGTATATGCATGCTAGCTTGTTTAACCTTTCACAAGAATGTGCAGTTGTATAAGTCTAGCATGGCTTTATTGCTCGAAGGACAAGCCGTAGGCAGTCTTCCAAAAATCGTAGGCTACCTTAGTGCACTAGGTAGCAGCTTTAGGTTTCCAGGGCAGTTGTCCATTGGGCGTACTGCGTAACGTGCCCATTCTGTCTCTAGAGCCTGGTTCCACACGGATTAGGCCAAGATACCAAAATCCTTAAGTTAGCTAAGCTTTGAAAAAGACCATTGTGGCTATTTCTAGGAATGCTGGCGCAAGCCATTGTGTATCTAGTTATACTAGGGCTACCAGGCTCATCCACGTCTGGATATTCGGAGTGTAAAGTTTATCCTCCCACTTTGGAGAGCATGGTTGGTCCCTTAGGGGTGCAATTCCTGCATTGAGTCCCTAAGAAGGGCGCAATCTTCTTTTGAAGTGCAGGAGAGATAAGTTATTGTAGACATGTAGTCGAGCCAAGTTGTCAATTACTTCTGAATTCCTTATTGAAAAATGAGTGAAACGAACGAATAACTTAGCTGTAAAAGAATGCATAACAATTGGATAGCCCTCGACTTGCGAGGTATTGCCCATTGAGCTGCTTGAGTCGTCGGGTCTTGATATAGTAGGAGGTTACACCTGGTACTTCCTTAAGTTGTAGGCGTTCCATTGCTTCTCGATCTCTTTGTCGTTCATGGTGGCGATAGTGTAATTACCCTTGCCACCTACTATGCTGATCTTGTACGAACCTTCCCACATGGGATCCATCTTTGTAGAGCCTTCTCTACAGGCAGTGATGAAGGTCTTTCTTAGGAATATATCTCAGGGTTGGAATTGCCGGATCTTGGACTTTTTGTTATAGCTGGAGATGGGTTGTTGCTGGTAGGCTGCAATACGGGTGATGGTCTGCTCGCGCTTCTCCTCTGCTAGACCTAAGCTTGTGGCCATCTCCTTACTATTCTGCTCAATGCTTGGCAATAAAGTGCTGATGTTTGGCACGATGATGTTAGGATGAATAATTGCTTCCGAACCAAATGCCAAAGAGAAAAGAGTCTCACTGGTTGCTCGTCTTTTGGTGGTGCGATATGCCCATAGACACCCAGGGAGTTCATCTGGCCATTTTCCTTTCTTATCGATGAGGGATTTGTTGAGGCAGTCGATGATTGTATTGTTGGATGCTTCGGCCTGCCATTTGCCTTGAGGGTATCTCGGCGTGGACATGTGCTGCTTGATGCCTAAAAGAATCGAATGATATAAATTCAAAAACTTTTCGTCTCACATCCCGGCCAGGGCCCCCACCACATTTCGGGCTCGACTCCGCCGTAGCATGATATTGTTCGCTTTGGGCCCCAACCACACCCTCACGATTTTGTTTCTGGGAACTCAGACGAGAACTTCTCAGTGGGTCACCTATCATGGGATTGCTCTCGCGTAAACTCGCTAAACCGAAGCCAATGAGCTCCTAAAAGTCTCGTGCTAGGTAGAGATGTGAATATACATATAAGGCTTACATGATCCACTTTCCTGGGCGATGTGGGATGTCACATTTCGCACACTTCTTTAATTTTTTTTGAAGCTATTCTCGTAAAACGGAAAACCTTATTGACACTTCAGAATATTTAATGTCCTGCATCTCAAGTTCATATCAAAAAGAAAAAAAAAATTATCATGTACAAACTTAAGATGGCAGGGACATGATAATCCTTTATCCATCAAAGATATTATGGCTAACACCACCCGAGGAGATGAACATAAAATTCAACAATTGATAATGTATGGACATAGACTAGGTAAAGTTGTATAATTAAATATGCATTTGCATATTCCTTTTTCCTGCAAAATTTAAAGGCAAATAATGTATGAAACTCAAATTCTAATTAAGCTAACAAACAACCCCCTCTATTTCTATCATTTCAATTTCGTGGAGCTTAGAAAAAGGAAATAGACCAAATAAAGAGGACTCATATGAAAATTTCAATGTGATCGAATTGAAATGGTAAAATCCTAGAAATAAAATGAGTAAATTGTAACAATGGTCCCTCAACTTTAATCAAATTGAAACAATGATCCTTCAACTAAAAATCCATTACCATTGGTCAACTCATCAAAACGTGTAGCTATGTTCCTTTTCGTCAACTTCGTCAAAATTTTGTCAAAATGAGTTAGGTTGGAAGGATCATTACTACAATTAGGTTAAAGTTGAGAGACTATTTTTCCAATTGGATTAAAATTGAGGGCCATTAGTAATGAATTTTTAGTTAAGGGACAATTGCTTCACGTTTTGATGAGTTTATGGATCAATGGTAATGAATTCTTTGTTGATGGATCATTGTTTAAGTTAAAATTGAGGGATTGCCGCAATTTACTCGAAAAAAATCCTTAAGACCATCTCCAACCCTTAGCCTAAAACCTAAAATTTTTAGCCCATAAAATTTAGGTTTTAGCCCAGAAACAGCTTTTCTGCTCCAACCCTTCTAGCCTAAATTTTTTAGCCCGAGATTATTAAAGAATAAATTTAGGCTAATTTTGTCTTTTAAAGTAATTTAAAAAAAATTATGTACACTATCATAATTTAATTTTATAAACATTTTAATCTAAAAATATTTAAATTCCGATAAACATTAAAAAATCACTAAATTTGGGTGAATTTTGAGTTAAATAATATTTTTTTTTATTTTTTTAATCGTTGGATTTAAATTTGGATCGTTAGATCTTTTTTTTTACTGTTAGATATTATATTCGATATCAGCCGTTGGATTCAATAAATTCTGTAGGACATGCCCATGTGGGTGGGTCCAGCTGGTGGTGCCCACACCATTTTTTGGGCTAAATTCTAGGGGGAATTTGGCCTTGGGATGAGTTTTAGGTTTTAAGTTAGTTTTAGGCCATGGGTTGAGTTGGGTTTTGGGAGAAAAAAAAAGGGGAATTATAGGTTTTAGCCCAGGGTTGGAGTGCGTATAAAAGGATCTGACTTTACATGCAGATTTACCTGGAAGGGAGGCGGAGCAACCCATTGCGAGCATCTGGTGTTCTTATTGAATATGCAACTGTAAATTAGCGGCAGGCTCGGCCTAGGCCCAGTGCGGGTAGGGCGACCGTTCGGGGCCCAAAAAAATTGGGGGTGCCAAAATTATTAGGGTGGTATATTTATATATGTTTTTATAAGAGTATAAATTTATAAAATTTGGTTTAGTGACAAAGAAAATTAACTAGAACTGGTGGTTTTGTTGTTTAAAATGAATGAGGTGGTCTTAGGTTCAAAGCACTATGTGTGCTTATTTACATTCCAATTTTTAAAAATTTATTTTCATAACAATATAAATTTATAAAATCTGGCTAAATGATCAAGAAGTTTAATTAGAAGCAATGGTTATTTTTTCAATTTTTACAAATTTTTGTTTGGTTGTTAATTTATTTACTAGCTAGTAGCTATGTGAGTTGCTATTTTTAAATATTCATTCCAATTCAAGTCTAATCTTCAGCAAAGAGTAATGTACATACTAAATTTTTAGACCAAATTTGCAAATAATATTACGTGTCATCAAAATGTTTAAGTTAGTGTTCATTCATTACTTATACATATCCTTAAAGACTCAAAACATTAATATTTTTTTGGGTCTTATATTGACGAGGTTAGTAAATAAGAAAAAATAACTCACGATTTATACAAAAACACTTTAAAAGTTCAGATGAAAAATAAAACTCATAATCTATCTAGTTGTAAGCCCGAAGTTTTTTAGTTTCCTTCTCTTGATACAAAATAAATTAATTATTCTATATTTCTAAATTATTGAGTTTGAAGTATTTTTCTAAATATAATTTTATTGATATCTTATGTGTGAAAATAAATATTTTTTTATAGAGTAAATTGTAGCAATGGTCTGAACTTTACTCAAATTGGAGCAATGGTCCCTCAACTAAAAATCCATTACCATTGGTCCCTCAACTTACCAAAATGTGTAGCTATAGTTCTTTTCATTAATTTCTTCAAAATTTTGTCAAAATATGTTATGTTGGAATAACCATTTATTTAATTAGGGTCTCTCAACTCATCAAAGTGTGTAATTATGGTCATTTTTGTCAACTACGTAAAAAATTTTGTCAAAACGAGTTATGTTTGAAGGACCATAGCTACAATTGGGATAAAGTTAAGGGACCATTTCTCCAGTTGAATTAAAATTGAGGGACCAAAGGTAATGAATTTTTAGTTGAGGGACCATAACTGCACGTTTTAATGAGTTGAAGGACCAATGGTAATGGATTTTTAGTTGAATGACCATTGCTCCAATTTGAGTAAAGTTCAAGGACCAAAGCTACAATTTACTCTTTTTTATATGAAAGGAAGGCACATATTTTTACGTATTAGTGGTGACCGTTTTCGCTACCTAGGATCTATCTTGCAAGAGAACGGAGAATTAGATGGAGATCTCAACCATAGAATACGAGCTGGATGGATGAAGTGTAAGAGTGCATCCGGCATGTTGTGTGACCGTCGTAGGCCACTGAAGCTCAAGGGAAAATTTTATAGGACGGCAATAAGGCCAGCGATGTTGTATGGCATAGAATGTTGGGCGGTGAAGCATCAACACGTACACAAAATGGGTGTAGCGGAGATGAGGATGCTTCGTTGGATGTGTGGGCACACGAGAAAGGATAAGATTGGGAATGAGGATATCCGAGGTAAAGTAGGAGTAGCCGAAATTGTAGGAAAGATGAGAGAAAATCGGCTCCGGTGATTTGGACATGTGCAAAGAAGGCCGACTGACGCTCCGGTTCGAAGATGTGACTACGGGACAGAGGTTCCGGGCCGAAGGGGTAGAGGAAGACCTAGGAAAACTTTGGAAGAGACTCTAAGAAAAGACTTAGAGTACTTGGATCTAACGGAGGACATGACACAAAACCGAGCGCAATGGCGTTCTAGGATTCATATAGCCGACCCCACTTAGTGGGAAAAAGCTTTGTTGTTGTTGTTGTTGTTGTAGTGGTGTCCGTGAAATTGCATAGACCCCCGATCATTTCAGTTCCTCTTCTCCGAGCGGATAGGAGTTCTGTAACCAAACCCAAATGCCTCCGACCAAATTCTCACCGAAACTCCACCATGCAGCCACAGTGATGAGATCAACAATCCAGTCCTGACTCTAATCCTCCTATGGCGGACACTCTTGTCCTCCTATGACACATCCGCCTCCATTAATCCCGATTGCCTATCTACCATCCCCTCACAAAAAAATGTTCTCTTTCATTCCCTGGCTTTGGCTATCGAGTCCAGCATTGTATGGGACAGTGTCAACTTTGTTTGGATTGTAGAGTATGGCTACGAGTACGAGCAGACCTACGCTTTCTTTCCCCTTCTTCCTCTTTGCATGTCGTTCTTATCCCGCACAGGTTAGGCTCAGATTATCAGCTTTCGGTAATACCATTTGGGAAATTTGTTGGTTTCTATGGTTTCAAGCAATATCCAGTTTGCAATTTGTGAACTTTAAGCAATACCCAATTGGCAATTTGTGAACTTTGAACTTACCCAATTTGAAATTTGTGAAACTTGAGCTTACCAAAATGACATATTTTGAACTTTAAGCTTTTACCCAATTGGTAATTTGTGAACTTTGAGCTTGCCCAATTGGCAATTTGTGAACTTTGAGCTTACCCATTTGGCAATTTCCGAACTTCAAGCATACCCAATTGGTGTTTGTATCAGTTTGTTGAGTTTGAATAAGTGCTTTTTTTGTAATTAGCAGTTGTGCTTTGTGTTTCAGTTTTGACGCCATTGGTTCCAGTTATTGGGCAAAGAGCTATGTTGGGATTATCCGGCTATGCATTAATAACATTGGCTTCGTGTTTGCGGCAGTTTATTTATAGAGGTGAGCTAGTTAGGATTTTCATAATTTCAATTCGATTCGGAAAAGCTTTATCCGGACTATAACTATTTGGCATCTTCAAGTGTGTTTCTTTCCAGCAGTAATTAGAGCTTGTCTGCCACCTTAATGTGGCCCTTATTCTCTGAAATAGGATTTTGTCACTAATTAAAAGGAAAGATTGTTTTACATTGACTTTTTGATTGGTTTAAAACTTTTGATTACTTAAGTCTTTCCCTTGTCACTTTAACAGGCGAACCGATTATTATATATATATTTATTTATTTATAATTTATAATTTTTAATTAGAAATTACTTGAACCATTGGGTTTGTTAAAATCTAATCCAACCGTCCATTAGTTAGGTCATTTTATTAGGTTGGTGATCAGATCTCTCGGACTCACTCACTCTCGCTCACTCTCTGTGCTCCGCTCTCGCTCACTCTCTGCGCTCCGCTCTCACTCACAGTCTCAGTCTCTCCCTCACACACACTCTCACAAACAGTCTCGGCCATCAATAGCTTGATTGAGGAAGCCATTGTTCAAGCTGAGAGAAAGGGTGCCAAAGTTATAACTTATAACTGTCCAACTCCAAGGCGTTTTCTGCAATCCGCCGCTTGTGCCAAGCGACCAAGCGACCAAGCGACAGCAACGGAGAAGCACAGAGGAGGAGGATGGAGAGTAAAGTGGAAGTAGACGAAGCGCCGCAGCCGGAGCTCCAATCCACCGCCGCGCAGCCATCACCGGCCTCTTGAATCAGGCCAGTTTCTACCTACCAATATCTGAGTAAATTATATATGGTCATTGTCTCCTTAATTTTTTATCTGAATTCACTTTCTAGTCTTTAAGTCGAATTATTGTCCAGGAGGTCCACTCTATTATATATTCTGCAAAATAGATACATGAAACCCACCCCACCAATCTATTACTTTCTAATTTATGGATAATGTGTTTAAGTCTATTGGTGAGGGTTCTTTGTTCACATTTATATGCGGCACATGTTCTCTGGCTTACTAGTCATCTGTAGTGTTTTGAGTTCATTTGATACCTCCTCCGATGGAATGATGGTTTGTTTTTAACCAATCCCGAAGTATCCCGAAAATCCCGAAACACTTTCGGGAATCCCGAATTTCGGGAAATGCACATTTTCGGTTCGGTTTTGGGATATAAAATCCCATCCCGAAATGTTAAATGTTTTGGTTTGGGATTTGGGAAAGGAGTTTCGGTTCGGGATCCCGACCCGAACCACCCCTACCAATGACCCTATATTTCGGGCGAAGGCGGAAATGTTTTTGCTCACAATTTTGTTCATCCATTTATAAACATCATTAAGTGTCTCTGTCATGTCATGTCAGATAATGCAAATGCAACGCAAGTAAACAAATATCCATAGCTACAATTTACTTTATTATTATTTTTTTAATTAACAATTCATGTTTAAATGTGTATTTAAACAGGAGGCACTAGAGTAAATTTGCAACGCCAAAACCCTAATTGAAGACTTGTCTCATTTTCTCACTTTGGTAGTCTGGTTTGGTTTCCATCGAATCGAATATTTTCGGAAGGGAATTCTCCCATTTCGAACAAGCAGCAGCAGCAATGAGCAAATCACAAGGTTTCTCGTCGTCACGTCTCATCGTGAAACAAGGCATTAAGAAACCCAGCAAAGCCCCACTCCCCTTGGCCCGGAAAATCTCCACTCGGCCACACTTTCCCGCCACCCCTCAGCCACCGAAATGGTCGTTTTCTAGCAAGATCCCTTATTCAACAGTGTCATCCAGAGCGGCCCAAGACCTTCTGGCGGAGGTGGAGAGAGAAAAGCAGAGAGAACGAGAGCAGAGGAAGAGGGTGGGGCTGGACACCAAAGACATTGACCGAGAAGATGAGGAGGACTACATGGGCGTTATGCCATTGATCGAGAAGCTCGAGAAGGAGAAGCTCAAGGACACCGGAGACTTGAACTTGTACGAGGAGCCCACCGATTCCGATAGTGACGAAGACGATGAGAGGTTCACTCCTGATGCCGTCAAGAAGAGGTTTGATGAGTTTCAGAGGAAGTTCACACGCCACGAGGAGTTGCTCAACAACTTCACCGAGGCTGGTAATTTGCCCATTTCCCTGCTTTTTCAACAATGTGCTTTTTTTTTTCTTTGGTATTAATTATTCCAATTGCTTTTGAAATAGAAAAAATAGAAATTGTGGGTGAAAATTTTCGACTCCAGGTACCCAAAAACATGACATAATGATGGTTTTTGTATGTATTTGTGTGCTAGTCTAGTCCAGGATATAATATTTGTTTACTTACGTTGCATTTGCATTCTCTGACATGACATGACAGAGACACTTGATGATGCTTATAAATGGATGAATAAAATTGACAAGTTTGAGCAAAAACATTTCCGCCTTCGCCCCGAATATAGGGTCATTGGTGAGTTGATGAACCGTCTCAAAGTAGCTGAGGGAAAGGACAAATTCATCCTCCAGCAGAAACTAAACAGGGCTATGAGATTGGTGCAGTGGAAGGAAGCCTACGATCCAAACAATCCTGCCAATTATGGAGTCATCCAACATGAGCAAGTGGAGCCCTCAGTTGATTTATTGGAACATGCTGGGTTTGAAAAACAAAAGCAAATTATACAAGGAGTTGACGACGACAACGAAGAAGAATTTAATGACATGAAGGAGAAAGATGACATACTGTTAGAGAAGCTTAATGCCATTGACAAAAAACTCGAAGAGAAGCTAGCAGAGTTAGATCATACATTCGGGAAGAAGGGTAAGGTTCTAGAGGAAGAGATCAGAGACCTAGCAGAGGAAAGAAATGATTTGACAGAGAAGAAGAGGAGACCTCTCTACAGGAAAGTAAGTGCATGTGTCATCAAGTTAGACTTTTTAATGTTTATAGTTCAGAATTCAGCGACAACTGACAAAATAATTGTCATAAGTATTTATAAGTTGAACAATTGTTCTGGGTTAGTTTTGATGCAACTTTCCCATTTTCTTTCCCATGTTTTTATGCTTGCTATAGTTTTTAAAAATATTTGTGCATCTTTCGTGGACTTGCCTTTTTTTTTTCCTTTGTTGCTGTTAGCTAATCTGTTCACTTTTGGTATAATATATCATCTGCTACGTATGATGTTTGTAGAAAGAGTATGAGTTATTTATTTGGTATATGGTTAGCCTTGTTATACTGCGAAGTTTGAGTGAAGTCTTCACAATTTTGTTTTTCCATATTTTCTAATCATTCTTACTAAAATTTGTCCTTTGAGGAGCTTTATATTATTTGTTTTGAACTTCATTGCAGCTTCCCATGCAGACATATAACATATTTCTTGTTTTTGGTGTGCAAACACCAATGTTTTTGACCATTTTATTCCTTACATGTTGGCAGGGGTTTGATGTTAAATTAATCAATGTGAACCGAACTTGTAAAGTAACAAAGGTACTCCACCTTGCGGTTTATTTTTTGTGTACATAACTTTTGCTTTGATTTCTCTTCAAGACTCCTAACAGAGATCAATGCTTTTACATTTCTGTTTATGCTCTATAGGGGGGGCAAGTGGTCAAGTACACTGCCATATTAGCTTGTGGCAATTATCATGGTGTTGTTGGTTATGCTAAAGCAAAAGGCCCAGCAGTCCCTATCGCTCTTCAGAAGGTATGTGTGGTCTATGAACACTGCAGAGTTCCAATGTCTTGCACAGTGTTAAACATATATATTTTTATATGTTGATTTATCATGATCTAGTTTGCACATCTATGCGTAATTGCTGTGTTACTTTTTTATAGTTTGAGTATATTAGATGTGACCGTTGTGATCAAAGTAATATCCATTGAACTGATTATTTTAGATGGATCTCATGTGGATAAGTTCATTGGTTGTTTTTGGATATATCTTGGTATAGTCTGATATTGCTATCTTACTATTATTACTATGATTATCATTATTGTTGTTATTTTTTTTTACAAGATAGGCTTAGTAAAGTTCAACTCTTACAACTTTATGTCTTAATGGTCACAGATAATAGAATAAAAATGCTTTTATTGGTGAAAAGACTATAAATAACAGATAATACACATTGAAGATATAAATGTGGGCAGTTCGCAATAACTGGCAGTGGTGTTTCTCACCCTTGTTGTCCAAGGGTCACATATACTCTAAAACCATATTCGAGACCGATACCACCATAATACGTGCTTATTGCCTTGTTGAATACTACCCTAAAAATGCTTATAAGTGATTTTAAACAGTGATGGAAATTATTTTTGGAATAAAATAGATCTAGTGGTAGTTTACAATGTGAAGGGCACGATGATCACATTCTAGTTTTTGATGTGCTGTCATGTCATTGTATTGTATTGTATCATATTATACATCTTGATTCTTGAATCTACATCCATGCAACATATGTCTTCCATTCCTATTTTGGTTAAGTACACCCATTTTTTGTTGGTTTTCATCTCTATTATGAAAATGCACCCCCATGAAAATGGCCATCTGTAAATGAAGATGTGTTGTTTAATAAAACAACTGAGGAAGTATGACCAGGTTTTCTGTTACTAGGACGACATGTGTAGCAATAACTATCCTTGTTAGATTGTTGATGATTTTCACTTTTGTTGCGTTCTTCCAGAATGATTGTAAAATTATGGACTGAAAAAATTTGAACAGTACCAATTGAGCTAAGTTCTTTGCCTCGCATGTCTGGATTATGAACTTACTGTAAATAGGTTTCCTTTTATTCTGAAGTAAGTTATTAAGGGTGCTTTATGTGTTTTTACCATTGAGCATAGATTGAACAAGTTTATCCATTTTTTCTCTGTACCGGCAATTGTCTTTGTGAAACATATGACCAGGGTTCGTTTTTCTTCTGATTGAAATAATTAAGGGTGTCGTAATTGTTTCTACTATTGAGCATAGACATGAACAAGTTTATCAATTTATTCTTCTTCTGTTTTTCTTTTCTTTTCTTGTCTATGTACTGATGATTTTACAACAATCAGGCATATGAGAAATGCTTTCAGAATCTCCACTACATTGAACGACACGAGGAGCATACAATTGCGCATGCAATACAAACAAGTTATAAAAAAACAAAGGTGATTGGCTCATTGTGGTGTACTGGTTTTTTGTCCTTGTAGTGGCATTCTTTCATTCTTGTGTTTTTCTTGTTTTTTCCCTTGATATAGAGCCTACGTTTAACCTGTAATTCGTATCAGGTGTATCTCTGGCCTGCACCCACTAGGACAGGTATGAAAGCAGGAAGAACTGTTGAAACCATTCTAAACTTAGCTGGTTTCAAAAATGTTAAGTCTAAGGTATTGACTTTGAAAGAAATCCATTTTAAGAGGGGTGGTTCCTGCAATTTGGTTTGTTGCTCTAACCTCCACACACTTGTCAGGTTGTAGGCTCAAGGAATCCTTATAACACAGTCAAGGCTCTCTTCAAATCCCTTAATGCGGTCAGTAGTCACTTTATCGGGTGTGTTGGATTTTCTTAAATTCATTGAGTTTAATTTGTGTCTCTGTATGTGAATTTTCAGATTGAAACTCGAAAGGATGTTCAAGATAAGTTTGGCCGCACTGTTGTTGAGAAGTACCTTCTGTGACCGATGTGCTTTATGGAATAATTCTTTAGGCCGTCTCAAAGTTTTGCACCCCTTTCGTTTCTCCTTTCACACTATTGGTAAAATAATGCTAGGGAGCTTAAATTTGTAGACAAAAGTTTGCACACTAAATGTTATGGAAGTTAATGATTGGTTACTTGGTAAATCTTTTTGAAAAAGGAACATGAGTGGTTCTTTCAAGAGTCACTCAACATCAGTGGTTCTTTCAAGAGTCACTCGTCTGTTTAAGACCCACAAAGGAACACTTTACCTAGTGATTCTTGATTCGTCTTGGATGAAAAGTTTAAAATGTGAAAAATGATTTTCACATATTTTGTTTTCTTTCACTTACTCTTGTTTATTTCGGTTGCTTATGAGATGCAAAAATCCACTATCCCTCCCTCCAAATTCCAAAATGGTTGTTAATATCCTGCCTCCTCTTATGGAAATATACAAGATGTGGGTTTTACCTATTTGTAATAACACCAGCGAACGTGATACGGTCTGAAGCTGTTGTTTTTTGAACTGTTTTTGTTATATACTAGCGAAGGGTATACTGTAGGTGTATTAACTGAAGGGGTTTATAATTAAAAGCTTAATACAAAGGTAGAATTTCGGGTTATGTGTAATTTCTTGCTGTTTGTGAATCATTATGTAGTTATATGATTATATACCTGCCACTAGGACTGGACTGTATAAATTAATTCTCTAGATTCAAGGCATGTTGAAGTAAGAAATGAAGTTGGAAGGAATGAGATGAATTAGTTACAAGTATCCTATCATTTTGTGGTGATTGGTCGGGACCATGTCCAACTCCACTTGGTTATATAAAAAGGGCAACCCTAAGCTAACAAGACTCCCCGCTTTGTGAAAGTCGGGAGGAACATCTAAGTAGCTTAGTTATATATATAAATTTACTGTGCATCAAGCATTGACATTTGTCTGCTTCCTTTGTCTTCCTCATTGAACCTGTATAAATTCTCAAGATCCAGAAGTTGATGAGTTTCAAACATTGCCAGTATCTGAAAGGACTCTCTCTATCTCCTCTACGAGCCGTTCTTTTCATCCATTAGATCTTCATTTTGCTTCTGCAACTCCTCTATCTGCTTAGTCTGCTCAGAATCCTTCCTGAAACAATGCAACACTTAGATAATCAATAAAATTTCAGATAGAACACGAAGGCGTGTTTCTAGCAGTCAAACCAAAAGCTTTCGTGCTCCCAAAAAGACCCTGTCAGTTGATTTGATCCAACTGGCAATACTTTCCAAAGACTTTGCTCGACAATTCACTAGCTCTAGCACTTAACCGAGAGGTTTAACTAAGTTTCGGACCAACGAAACCTATTAACAGAAGCTAGTTAGAAGCTCTAACGACAGCAAGTTTTCTGAACCATAAAAATCTTGATTAATACAACTAGAAAGTTTATGTCCTTTAGCAAACAACTGCACCATTCCGTCTTAGATACGGATATTCAACGGTTGTATGCATAATGTGACTTGAGTGAAAAAGACAAAAAAAGTTGCTTCATACGCGGAAACATCAAAGTAGAAAATTCTGAGGAAATGAAAGCTAATCTGTTTCGTTACCTATTCATGAAGGACAGGTTCAGTTTGAGTGATCGCACTTCCTTTTCAAGATTTTCGCACCGCTTCAAGACAGATTGCATATCAGATGGAATTACTGGAGTTGAGTTCCTTCCCTTTGCCTCCGCCATTCTACATTGACAAGAAACTTAACGTAAATATAACCTTCTCATCTCTAAGACACATGTAGCACTTTCTAGATAATTTCTATTGCTTCATGTTGCCTACAAAGATATGTTCCGGCATCACTGGAACCTGCTCACTGATTTTAACATAAAATCCTCCTAGAATTCCTAATAAAAGTCACAGTCTTCAATACGAAAAGTTCACTCTTCAATGCGATCGATTTGACGTCAGACAGTAAGTGAGATATGTATGCTGGTGTTTTTTCCGCTATCGTATCTTATGCGAACCCGTGTGCATAAAATAAAAAATAAAAAATAAAAAATAAAACTGGAATTAAGATTCAATGGATAGCCAAATAAGTAAATCTGCTCCCATTTGTTAACAAAAATATGGAAATAAAGAAAGGAAAATCTAAAATTCGAAGAAGAGAAGTTTTTCCGGGGGAAGACAATACTATCCCCCATTGTAGGTATTGCTGTACTTACTTCCGTGACCTCTCCACCCTGCGTTTTTTTGTTGCATCCTCCTTGTCTGCTGCATAACATTTTGTTTTGGTTAGAGAGAATACCATGAGGGAAAAAAATGTCAGGTAAGTCCAAAGGCTTCCTAGTTCACCTCGAACATAAGAACCTTCCGTTATATGTGTTGCACATCATAAGAAAAGAGTTTGGTTTTTCTTCTCCCATCAACCAGAGTACATTCCATTCTAAAATCTCATAAAGTTCAATTCATAAGCATGCTTTAAGAACCAAGAACATTCTGGTTTAATTTATTCATGGAGGTAACATTGACACGAAATCCATAACTCATTATGATGAAGTTTTAGTCATAATTGGATACCTGAAACAGCCGATGTCACTGATCCGTAGCGCTCTAAACGTTTCCCACTCTGTGAAATATGCCAAGTTAAAGAACAAAGAAAAATGAAACTTGGTAAATGTTTTAGATGTTTTCATAACAACATGCTATACTCAATATCCAAGAGTAGAGTATACCTTTTGGTCATCTTTCAAATTTCCAATTTTCCGTTCTCTGACATCTGCAGTTCCACGACAAGATATATAATTTAGTTACATGAAACGCTGACTGACGCTTACCAGAATTAACTTTTTATTAGTAGTGCTGATATGTCTTCATAAACATTTTTAATCACAAACGGAGAACGAAAGGTGTGCATCTGAAACGTCTGCACAGGCATACAGTTTTGTGCTGATAGTCTTTTAATTTTGTACAAATTTTCACTTACTCTGGTAAATGGAAACAAAAAGATAATTCCGATCATACTTCTTTCACAATTTTAAGATGTATCATGATGGTAGTTATGTATCTTGGGCTAATCGATTTATTTTGTATGTTGGTTCTCTGTTATCGAAACTTGCATAAGATAACTCAAAGGCTTCTATAAGCTAAAGGGTCACCGATATGAGTCTGCAATACAATTTTCATAAGAAGGGAACAGTTACTTAAAAAGGATCACCTTTGGATCTAGAGCTTTCAGCTCGTTTGATTGAACTTTCACAAATGCTCAGGGTTTGACCTGAATTGCTGGGACCGTCCCATGCATCAAAACCAGATGAAACTACTGGTGCAGCAGCAGATGATTCACTTTGGGAACGTTCTTGAGAAGTCCTGCTTACGGGATTTGGGTTTGTGATATTTACAAAACCTTCCATCTGAAGATCCAGTGAACCTTCAACTTTTTGTGTAATTCTATGACCGTTAACTTGGATAGTGGATACTTCTGGAAATGTTCCAGCTGCCATACCATGAAGTTGATCCCTTTCCCCTTGATCAAAACCGGTGTTGACAATAACTTCTTGAACAGAGAAACGTCCATTGGATCTATCATCATCCACACTTTGTTTCTTGATCTGATTGCTAAGCTTTTTGCGCTCCAAGGTACCCTTTAGCATGCTCACCACAGATGAAACTTTATCCATTTCACTCATTTGTGGGGTGTTGAAAGTGGACGATGATGAATTCGATGGAGAAATGAAGGTCGCCAATTGGTTGCTGACCTCACAAATAGAAGGGTCATTGAAACCATTTGAAAACGCAAAATCCTGATTTGCTAGATTGCTATTCCCTGAAGCAGTCTGCATGACTTCCAGACCTGCTGGCATTTGAGCGTTTTGCATAGCGACATACCTCCTCCTGCATTTTAATATATACTCATTGAATGAAATGAGATGATGACATGTGCCCTCCATACAAGTAAATAAGAAATTAAGGACTGCATCCACAGGACAGTTTAACAGAAATTCAGCGGTTATTATCTATTAACAAGTGTATAAAAATTACCGTAATTCAGAGGATCGGCTTCTTGTCATTGGTTGAGAACTGTGAAACCAGGCCTGCATTGATAGGAAAATATCAGATAGATACAAGATGAAGCTTCCTTGAAATGAATCCTGAAAGGAATCAATATTAACATGCCTTAGCCAAGTATAACTCGCTAGCTTGTATTCCTGGTTCAACACCATGCCTAAAAAAATTGAGACCAAATTAAATCAATGTAACTATCTTAGACAAATTGTTATCGTCACCGTGTAAAGAAACTCGTATATGCTACAAGACAGCTTATTAGAAGGGAGCAGTAGCCACCTGATTGAACTTTGATTGTTGTCACCTGAGATTTCATCAGGCATGGTATTAATTGGTGGATACAAACAGTCATTGCTTCTTTTCTTTTGAAGTATACCGACATGTTGCTGACCCGGCAAGCTAGCTATTTCAGTAGAAATCCTGTGATGCACAAAGCAATTATGAGCTTATAACTAGAAAGCAAAGAAGATCAAAGATCCGGAAGTCTGAAGGTAAAAAAAACTATGCAGTCTGGAAAATAACAATGTATTTAAGGCGTAGCACATGATTTCCATTTAAGGGTTGCTCGAGCTGCAGACTACTTACATCCGTGTTCTGGTACGATGTGCAATGCTTGATGAATTATAGCAATTGGTCTGGAAAAAGTTACATGTCAATCAAACAAAAAAGACGATCAGGAAAGGGACAGAGCACAGAACCCACAAGTCCATATATCATCCAGCTTCTAATGGATTTTGTGTATCTTATGTGAAACAATTATTTGAGCATCAGATTGTAGAGTTATCAAAGAGATCCGTAATAACTAGTAGGGAATTACGAGCCATTTTAACTGACTCAAACCTAGATAGATGTTCTATTGGACATTCAACGAATGATCAAACTTTCAAACAGAAAAACAAGTAAATGAGTATATAGGATAAGGATTACATGGCTGCTTGCCTCTCCATTTGTGAGCCAGCTTTTGAAGAGTTCCTCGCTATCAGTACGAAAGTTTTGAGACAAATTCTTAAAACCAAGTATCTCCATGGTTGGTAGAGGCATTGCAACTGGGCTCTCCATATAAGATCTCAGGATCAACTCCTCACTTGTATTCCTATAGAAGTCCGAAAGCCTTCTTCCTTCCATCTCCTGCCCCTCACTTCTTGGAATCGCCAATGCGTTTATCAACTTCTGCCGACTGCTTTCTGGTTTCACAAAAGAATCATTCACTGAGCTTCCCTTAATCCCTTCATCGACCATACTAAAAAACTTTTCCCACAAACAAAAATTAGAAGCCACCCGAAAAGGGTCAACTCTTATATATACCTGTGAGCGAGCTATAATCGAACTATGTACTCAAGCAGTTGATGCTCTTCTGATCCCTCTCAAACCAGCTACTTACGCGAGATGACTTTGAACCAAGTTGACACAGCAACTGTTTCTTTCTCTGCAGTCTCAAGTCTGAACTGATCAACACTAACACCATCTGGGCAAGACTTCAAACATTAAAACCAACCAGTATATGACAAAGAAGACGTCTAAAGTACCAAGATTATAGTTTCATATGTCAGCGTTACGCGTGTTTATTTTTCCTTTGAACCATTTTACAAGCATATGCTGGTCTGCGGTCATCAAAACAAGATTATTATAAACAAAAACTGTGGTATCGTTGATTTCGGGCTATCTAAAGATTCCCTGCACCAAACATTGTCTCTTCTTTGTCATGCAGCAGTAAATTACTTCAATTCTTCAACGGTCTGTCAAACGCAGGCAGATTAAAAAATGAATCAAACCTTATTAAGTTCAATGTAATCTCGGTAAGATATGCAAGAGGCCTGCAGCTCAAGAGGTTAAGAGCGTTTATTCCTGTACCCGAAGTTTGTGTTCGGTTTTCATCATACCAATTTGCTTATGGTAGAAACAGCTAAGCAATGATGGCAGCAAGAAAGGGACTTTGCTTGATCATGTTTATTTAAAAAGGGTAGCCGTTGGGAGGGCGTTGTATTAGTGTCGGGGAGGTACCATCTGACTCGTGGACTTTATATAATATGGTAAATTGGTAATGGTCGATTCAGAAATTTAATATCCACCAAGTGGGAATTTTTTATAGGACTATAAAAATCATAGGCTCCAAAACAAGCCAATTTAATTTTGTTTTTGCTAATCAATTTGAAGGCTTAAGACGTAGGAGGATTAATTTTTGGGTCATTTTGATTCCGGTGCCTAATCAACTTAATTGTTATATTGAAACTTGGTTTGTTTAAATATTTTGATCGGCTTCTTTACATCATTTAACGGGAGGACGGTTGTTGTAAGTTACACAATAGGTTTGACATAACTAAGTATCAAACTTAACATAAATATTGTACGTTATTGTCACCCATGTGAGTCGAAAATGAGACATCTCATTTACAAATAAATGAATCTTCAAAATACCGATTTTACTGTACTCATCGACTGAATCTGTTTGGGTAACTACAGCTTCGAACTGGAAAGACTGGGCAATACATCGATTTGGTTGCTACAAGCCACTCTAAAATCAGCAAATTCCAGTGAGCATTCGAAACATAAATAACAATGCAATTATCATCCTTTCTAAAACAAAATGACACGCTGCAAGTTCAATACGAATTAGAATCATTCATCAATACAAAGTTTCACTAAAACTCCAAAGTCTTTCAGCTTTCAAGATAGTTAGTCGAAAACACAATTAACTGTTGTTCAGATCAAAGAAACACATACTACTAATACCATTTACAAAGGGACGTCCCAGATTAATTAAGATCAGCTGAAAGTTACAAATTCCGACCAATCCACGGTACCAAGGATAATGTGGTTCAACATCCTCACGAGTATTACAATTTGAACGACATACCACTAGTCAATCTCCACTGGCACAGCCCCTACAGCCACAATGCACACACTCTATAACCTTCTCCTCCCTCAGATGCTTGGGCACTCGGCAAACACATGTGGTGGCAAAGTTATGATCCCGAGGCTGCATGCATCTTAAACAACAGAGGCGTTCGTATCCAGGCTGCAATTCAAACACAAGCCTTATGTCATGATTTGTCATCACAGTTGACTTATAAAAATATATTAATTCATATATATTAGATGTGGATAAAAGGACGCAAGGTACATGAGTTTGCTATATTTTCCTTAACATTTTTGGTATCCTAATTTAAGTACAGAAGTTCCTTTTTAACTTACTAATGCAGCTGACAATGCAAAATCCGATACATATTACTTTGCCTTCATCGTCAGCATATCCATGTCATACTACCCATGTCATACTTTATGTATTTCCCCCTGAATTCGCTAATTTTCTAGCAATGCTAAGTTTACTCCAATTTTCTTATAATAAATATTCATGCTTATGTTCTTTCAACTTTATTTACAGGTTTTTCATGATTAAAAGGGCGACCCCAAGCCAACAAGGCTCTCAGCTTCCAATTCAAAACTAGGCAACTTATTTCCAAGTTCGATATACCATGCAGTCAACTTCATACACATATAATCCAGACAAAGGAAAGAAAACGCCAACTAATAGCAAATAAGGATAGAAGAGATCTGAGACAAACCTTTTTCCATTTTGCAATTAGATTGCGGTCAGCATAGCCTTGGTCCAGGCAGAACTCATATAGTTCCTTGGATATTTCCTTTCTTCGATGGTAAAGGTCGAAAATATAGCGGCTCTTTTGATGTGCAATTTTGAAAATAGGCCACAAGGTCTCACATTTTCTCTTACCATCGTGAGTATCATTCTCCGCTGTCCAAAAGATACAGGAAACATTCATTAGTATACTTTTGAATACGCATCGATTTTTAAAAGTTCAATGAACAATGTAATAAAAACACGGAAAAAATTAAACCTTCTCTCATCTTAGCTTGTAGGTCGCGAAGAGTAGGCTCAATCAGTTCCCATCCGTCTGGGTATTTGACCCGGTTAGTCTTTACCTTTGGCATTTTCTACCTGTCATCCGTGGCAACATATAAGCTCAAAAACTCAATCCGCAGCAGCAATAGAATCAACGAGAAAAAGAATCCGTGTCCAAGAATATATTAATTAGCAAAAATCGCAAAATGATGAGCACTAAGCCCGAACCCAGGATTTGAAACTGGATTGGGCTGAACTTTTAAGCCAATTTTCCTAAGTCATAAGTTCCTCTCCAAAATTTGGGCATAGTCTAATTTGTTTTTATGGAATTTCCCAACAAAATGATAAGCTAACAACAATACAATTATACAAAATCAACTAAAATTCGAAGACCGACAGCTGGAGCTCCAATCCAATCCCAAAATTCAACTAAACTAAAATCAGAAATTGGACATTAATTCAATAATCCCTAAATCCCTAGATTAGACATCCAATTAAAAGAACCCTAATTCCTAAATCCGTAAATCAGAATTTAGAAACAGTAATCAGAAGAAATTAGACTGGATTAAGAAGAAGAATTGAACAAGAAGAAGAAGGGAGAAATGGGCTTATTGATGAAGAAGGACTTACAGCTGAGGAGGGAGGAGCAGCGGAGCGGCTGCAATGCGGAGGAGGAAACACGCTGTCGGATCAAAATGGCCTTTCGCTTTGTTTTTTTTGTTTTTTCGGTCAAATGTCAGATTACATAGCCGACAGAACAACACTCATATCCAATACTGGTAGGAAGCCGCTTACCAAAAAAAAAAAAAAAAAAAGCTTTTGTTAAATTTGTACAAATTTTTTCTAAAGATACTTTCAAACATTTTAAAAACACATTCAAACGAACAATAAGTAACTTACATTTGACTCAAAATCACATCATATAACTTGTCAAACTAAACTCGTGTGTCTCATACTGTGTACATACAAGTGCATGTCTACTTTTTTTTTTTTCTTTCTTAAAAATGGAATAAAGGTTGACAAGCCATGGTTATTCATTATTTTTTTAGATTTGAAAGACTTACAGAAGCATTTCAGCTTCTTTGGCTATAAGTTTGGCTTCCACACTGACATCAGGGTTTCAAACATGAGACATTCAGTTTTTAGTTTGAATAAAACATCGCAATTCGTGTTTTACTTTTACTACTAAACCACCAGCACGTAGTTAAATGCATGTGTACTGAACCTCCCACAAGTCTTGTAACATAAATAATACGAATGTGTAAAGTGTTCAAAATAATGATGGGTTAATGAATGCCTATAGTGATATTGAAAACATTGGTAGATTTTTCAATGCCCACACAAAGTGATATTGACTTGGGAAATGAAGGGGGATCGTATTGTCAAAAGGTGTGTTGTAAATTTCAATGTTCAGTTAATACGTTTATTTGGAGTTGTTCTATAAATAGAACGCTCCGTTTGATTTCAAGATACACTGAGAAAAAAATGAAAGATCAATAACATCAGTATATATTCCTCCCTCTTTTATTTGTCATCCTCTTATATTATAATTACAATATAATATTTTACACCTGCTTAACTTTTGCCACTAGTAAAGATTTCCCTTTAATTTTTACCTATTTATAACATAAAGTACTTTTTAGCCAGTATAACATATCAACAATCCTCATAATACAGATGCATGTTTTGTACAAGTAAAGATACAATATATTATGCATATTACAGATGCATTTTTAAGTTTCAAAAGTGCTTTCTGCAAAAGCACTTTCATAATGCCGTACTAGTTTCATTGTTCCAAAACCCCAGCGTACAACTCTCCTCCCGCCGGTCCAAACATCCACGGCGGCCTAACTTGTTCCCCATTTCTCTCTTCCCTCTCCCTTTCTTTCTTCTATCTCTGCAACCTGCCGAACCATAACCAGAACCAGAACCAAACGCGACCTTTCCATCTTCCCGATCGTTCGATTCGATTCCCAATTTCAGATGGAAGCTACCCCTTCCTCCACTCTCTCTCTGCCGAAACCCATCGACATCTCCTCTGACCAATTGAGGTTTTTGAACCACCATTTCCCAGCCCAGGAAGATGTTCTTCACAAAGCTCCTCCTCTTTTGGCAGCACTTCGCTCTCACTACTCTGATTTGAATTCTCATCTCCAAGCGCTCCAAACAGCTCTCACCCAACGCACCGTGTCCTGGATTCGCCTCTCGTCTTCGGCGAAAACCACCCTCCACAATCTTCACATCAGTCTTCAGAATCTCAGCCTCCTCACTTCCCAGTGTACGTGCATTCTTTTATCTCCATCTGGGTTTTCGAAATTTGGGTCATTTAATTTATCTCCTTCTTTTGGGCATTGCAGATGGGAGTGGCTTGAAGAAGTTGCAGCGAGTTTTGGGTACGGAACTGCCTCAGCTTGCTAGGGAAGTGTTGCGAATTGAGACCATTCGCAGTTATCTTGGTGAGTTAGGGAGTGACCATTTTGTAATGCATTCTTCAATTTCAGATATTTGTGTAATTTAGTGTATACGATTCGCCATTGAAGCCGTGCAGTTCTCAATAACTCAGTGCCACTTTATTGAATTAACTCAACCGTTGTTTAAAAGCTGTCAATTCTGAATTCCTCACATTCATGTTCTGTTCTTTTAAACTATGTAGTTTTGTTGAGTACACTTTGACAAAGCGATGCCAAAAAGACAGTATAGTAGAGTTATAATGCCAAATGTACCACATAATACATATGATTCTTATGTTAATTGCACGAGGTGGCTGCAAATGTGTAGCTCATCCATGTAACTCCTTTCAAACCCGCCCTTATTTTTACGAGTATCGCTGTACTATTTACTACTTTTTGGGCTCAAAATGCTTAGCATTCATAGATTACATGTAGGACGTATAATGCATAAGATGTCCCTGCCAAATTTCGTCCGGTAACCTAACCACAAAAACTTTTCACTTTTCTATTGCAAAGAGTGAAGCGGTAAAGGGTGTGATTGTTTATAATACTGTAGTTTTTGATATCTACATTGTACAGAAGATATTATTACCCGAAAGCAGTTTACCATGTTACCACGTTATGCATTAGGTACCATATATATATTGCCAGCATTTGCTTTATACAAATTACTCCAAATATCTAGGTACATCCGACACATCTTTGAATTACAAAATGTTTACAAACCTTGTTAGATTGATTTTTGTAACTCAAATACATTGTTGTGTTTTATGGTAGAAAAGTTATCAAGTAAATCCCATATCTCATTTGTTAGGAGGCTGAAATTGTTATTGAATGTGTGTTTTCTTCAAAATGCTTTGTGATAGTGAGCCCCAAATCTGAAATTGTGATGCTGCTGCAGTATTTTCGCATGACAATTTCCATTTTCTCTTGATATCCAAACGTCTTATATTTCACTGCTGGATGTGACATGCATTTCATTCTTGATATTGCTTTCAGTGTTGTAGAAGTCTCAAGCTAAACTACCCTCTTAATATTTCAGAGACTACTCTACAGTTAGAAGCTCGGGTTGGAGATCTAGAAGATGCAGTTTTCTGTTTTGTGAATTTCCATGGTGGAAAAATGTTCTCTGGAATGCTTTCAAATTCATCTGTATCGACTGAAACAATTTTGTCATTTCTTCTTATTAATTTTCAATGCAGAGTTGAATGGTAGATTAATTGACAAGGGTTAGTTGATCATACCGTATCTTATGAATGCAGGATGCTGGAACAAAGCACGAAAAGTTGCTTCAAGCCATAAAAGCATTGAATGATTTGGAAGTGTTGGTTGATGTTATGAAACTTCGACCACAGTGGTATCATCTTTTGACATCTGTTGATGGGAGGGTGGATAAAACTTTGGCTATTCTTCGTCCACAAGTTTTTGCCGATCACAGATCTCTTCTTGCTTCTCTGGGATGGCCTCCAAAACTTTCAACATCACAAATAGAAAGTGAGAAAATCGCAGGTCTCCCAAACCCATTAGTTTTAATGCAGGGAGAAAAAAGAAAGAGTTATTCAAATAGCTTTTTAGCTCTCTGTGCTTTACAGCATCTACAAACAAGGCGTGAAAAACGACAGCTTAATCTCTTAGGACAAGAGGTGTGCATGATACAGCTTTGGGCTATTGATGAGTTGGTGTCTCCTATTGCCTCACGGTTGGAATACCACTTTTCCAAGTGGATTGACCAGCCTGAACTTATATTTGCTCTTTCACACAAAACTACAAGGGGTTTTATTGCAGGAGTTGATGATGTGTTGCAGCCTCTGATTGATAAAGCAAGATTGGTAAACTATAGTGCTAAAGAAGCTTGGGTTGCTGCCATGGTACAACTGCTCTCTGAATTTTTGGCGAAAAGCATTTTTACAGATCTTGCAGAAAGATACCAGGACAAACAAATGAAATCTGAAGTTATAGAATTATGGCTTCATCTGGTCGACCTTATAGTTTTATTTGATAAACAAATGCAGTCACTTGTAAGTTCAGATGTCACTCTGTTTCTGACAGAGTCAGAAAGGGTGGAAAGTCTTTCTGGAAGCATTTCAGCGTTGATGGTGTTCTGTAAAAGGCCGGATTGGCTGAAGATTTGGGGAAAGATGGAGCTTAAAAATGCCTGTAGGAAATTCAAAACAGATTTGAAATCTGAAAGAGCTTGGTTGGTTGATGAAAGACATCAAGATGCCTTGCAATTGGATACGGAATTTGAGCAGTTTCTTCTTTCAACTAGAGAAGACTACAGAGCTCCGTTAATTGCAGAATCTGCCCTTAGAATCACCTGGGAAATGGTTGAAAAATGCCAAACTATGCCTTCCACTTTAGCACGTATACAATTTGTTAGGTCAACTGCTGTCAGATTCCTCTGGTACTTTTTTAAAGTTTTGCTTCTACGGTGCAATAAAACTGAAATTTCTCCTGACAATCTTGATGATGATGCCTTAGTTAGACTATCTGGATCAGTTAATGCTTCCAAATATGTCGAATCCAAACTTCGACAGTGGAGTGATGATGTGAACTTCTTGGAGATGAAAGTTGCTGAAAATGATACTAGTGACCAGGAGAAAGATGACAGTACTGAGATCAGTTTCTTCAGAGAAGAAATAAAAAGCTTGTCAGAGCTTGCAACTAACTGGTTGTTGGAGATCATTTCTGTTCTCCTTCGTCAATTTGAAACTCTTTCATGGGAATATGTGCAAAAGGTGAAACATTATGACCAACAACTAGAAGGCTTGACTCCAGTGGAAATATCAGCAGCCATGGATATAACTATATCAGTTGATTTCATTGAACCGTTAGATGTTTTGAGAAGTCATCTCATGCTTTTGAGAATGCGTCTTAATCCCAAAGACTTCTTAGATCTGTGGAGAAGTGTTTCTGAGGGACTTGACCATTTCATATCTTCCAGTGGTATCGGATGTGGTATTCAACCTTTTGATAATAGGATCAAACAGTTTGAAACGGATATGCAAGCATTGTTTTCTGTTTTCCAGCCTTTTTGTGTTCGGCCTGAAGCATTTTTTCCCCGTACTATAGAGACCATAAAGCTACTGAAAATGAACAAAGGAAGAAGGTGAAGCATTTCAGGTAATTTCTTAATTCTTAAAATGGTGACAATGAAACAAATTTTGTGCATTTATCTAGAATTTTACATGTATCTTTTGATGAAAGTGGAATTAGCTTGAGGGTATGAAAAGCAACAGAAACAAAGCGTGCAAGTTTTTCACAGAATAAGAAAATAACAAAATAAGTGAAAATAGCTTGAGTAACACATGCAAAAGCGTTTAAATTAGATACAAATTCTTGTTGCATCCAGGATCATTAGGATGCAAGTGTTAACAAGTTTTACTTTATTTACCTTTTTACCATAAGCTTTATCAAAATAAAGTAAGCAAAGTACAACATCATTGGTCAGGACTCAGGAGTGGACAAGTAGTTCACCAAATGAATAGTAAGTCTACCATCCACCAACTATACAGAAGTAACATAACAACATGTCTCGATAAACAGTTGCTACCCAATAGTTGGGGCAAAAGGTCAATGTTTTATGGGGTGTACTGGCGTTAGCTTTCTGAGTTATTTGGATGAAACACAAAATGGTTTTAAGATTGCAGTGGTGCAGTGGTGGATGAGCTTTTGGATGAGGTCAGATTCTGGTCCTTGCTGTAGGCTTTTGATGTTTATAAAGTAACAAGTTCAAGGCCTTTCTCCTATTCTTTTAGATTGGAAGGCTGAAGAACCCTAGATATGTTGGAATTGGTTTTATTAGGGGTTGGATTTTGTTCTGGGAAGAAATTATTATATATCTATTACTTTTGAATTGGATTCCTGGTCAACTCTATCTTATTTTGTTTAGATGAGTAGTAACATGTTTGTATTCATCAAAAAATATGAAGTTACCAACCTTATAGCGGAATAATGGAGTATGGGTAAAATACTTGTATATGCTACCTTCCCATAGCAACGCCCTCAATTAAGTTCCTATTTTCCTTTCTCACAAACAACCCATACTTAGGACATCAACCACTAACTTTTGTAGAAACAAAGACATGAATCCCTCTTGTTAGGCCTCCATATAGAAGTCCGAACCTCTCTGATGGCCTCCCATAGCTCAGGCAGCCAGTGATTTACAACCTCCACCATCTGCAGAAACGTTTCCTAGCCAACAAGGCAACAGATAATCTAAACAGGCCATTGATGAAGAATAATGCATTTATTGGTAATTCCATCAATGAAGAATCCCTGGAAAATCCTCAACAAAATGTCCTGACCACTTCCCAACGATCTTGAAAGCTCACCATTTCAAATCCATATTCCCCACCAAGGCAACTTCCTGCTGTCACAATTTTAATATTCAAAACTTTTATTCCTAGCTTGAAAAAATCCCAAAGCGTTTAGTTTCAGAGCAAAGTCCATCTTGTGAAGAAGCATTGGAACTTGGACGGTTTGTAAATCTGTCATAACATCTACAGTTAATCACTATTGTCCTTTTATTCTGGAAGTTCGTTAGCCTCTTTTCCTCATACTGATGGACAGGTTGACGAGACTGCCTTTTTAGATCTTAGAAACTTGTGTTGTGGTTTAAAGACTTCCTGTTGTCGAATATCAACGTTGGAGTTTGCAGGTGTTTGAAAATTTGAATTAATAGGGATAATGAGGGGCTGGTCTTGAAGAAACTGGTTGCTGCAATTGTGGAACAGATGCAGTTCACTCCAGAATTTTGGTGTTGTTTGGTCGTTTATTTTGGGCTGAAAGTGGTCGAAATTATATGCTTTAGGCATCTATTGTAAGAAAACATCAAGGATTGGGGCTGGTAAACAACTTGGGTTAATACTTTTTTTTATTTTAATTATAATTAGGGACTGATTATTCTTTTTTTTCATGAATAGAATATGAAATTGGTAATATATTTGATTATGAAGGTTTGCAAATGTATCAAATGTTCAAATTTCGATTGGCAATCATTATTTTTCAGAAGTCCTGGTCATGATAAATAATTTTGTTCTGCATCTTGGTTGTTGTCTTTAGTTATAATGTTTTTCTGGAAGTTGTTATTTTGGTTACTTCTTTTGTGATCGTATAAACCGTCTCACTTTTGTCTGTTTAAATAAACTAGGTGTACCTTGGCCTAGTTGCCCATATACGAGTCCTTGGACCAGTGCAATGTGGGGAAACAGCAATATATCTGAAATGGGAGCAACCATAGTAGCATGTCCATGTTCCATGGTTCCCGCCACTCTAGTAGCTGTTGGACCTTGCTAGCAACAGAGGAAGTCTTGCAGACCCTTTTCGGCAGTCATCCATAAACCTCACTAGGCCCTAAAATGGCCAAAAATTGTGAAGGTGCTGGGTGCGGTGGTAGCTGCAGGCTGCATCTTCCCTATCATTGAGGCACATCAGTCAACAAGAATCCTGGTGGTGGCATTTGCGATTGTTATGCTGGCTTTTGCTCAACCACGGTGTGGCGTGCTGCATAACATAATGGTTGGCTGCAATTACGGTATCATTTGAAGATTATTGACGGCATATTTTAACCCGGTTATCAAGCTCATAAACCGAAACGCCTGAGGATCAGATATGTGTCAAAAGCTGTAAAAGGAGCAATACATTTCGCAATGTTTAAAGAAGGCAGGTTTTTTGTGTGTTAATTGATTTTTAAGGATTTTCCTTTTTTTTCTATTTAACCCTGTCTCAGCCAACTTCACTTAAGTGGGATAACGCTTGGTGGTTGTCTGTCTATTTAACCACTCTTGGTTAGGACCAAAATGTATGGATTGTAGCAGTAACACTCTTAAGAATACTGAATTCGAATGTGCGTTCGTGCTTCATTTACAGGCAATTTTTTGTGAATATAGAGGATGTCATTTTATTTTTTTTCCTTTTTATGACAAGACAATATGTTATTCTAAACTAATTCACGGGAAAGAGGATTCGAACTTTGGTGGCCAGCTAGCCTCCTAATCGTATGTGCAACTGGTAACTCCTATTTGGGATGCAATTTGATTTTAACCCAAATAAGCAAAAGTAGTGGATTTTCGTGGTGGTTAAGGCATACTCTCTTCAACGCATTGCGTTCTGAGGTTCAAACCCTTCTCATAGTGTAGACGAGCATAGAATATCGCTCATACTATAAAAACGAAGTAGAGAAATGAATTCTCGAAATCAACCACATCCATCACAATATAGCACAAATAAAACATTAGACAACAGATTATTCGAATTTCGGTGTAGAAAAATAGATGAAATTCAGTGAGATACTTATACACAAATCATATATAAGATTATCGCTCTTTTATCTCCAGGTAAGTTTGCCTATACAATCTCTATCTGAGCTCAATATATTCTATTCAACAAGATGATATTTAAGCACATTCGGTGCCCACTCAAATCGTATATCATTGTACAGGGGAATGATAAGCTCCGTTGCTGCAACTCCAAATTTGTAGAATCTAGGACCGAACACCTTGCAGACGAAAATGGAATTAGCACTTCTCAATAAACTCTGCTGCCTACTTCTCAAGAGTTCTTAAGAAGAACGATGATCTCCGGGAGGCCGAGCCTTTTCCCATACTGGATAGCCAGCCAACCCACAAAAGAGATGTATGCCACAAGTAAACAAGTGCGCCTGAAACTGATAGTACGCACTCTTGCAGCCAAAATCTGAGGCAACCGAAATTTCATTTGCTGCAGGAGTCTAACAAAGAATATGGAGATGATAGAAGTTGAAAACCCACTAACAACTCCAGCTATGGTTTCCCACCTGCAAAACACGCTTCGTTTCTGGCTGAAAATCCAGGCGTGTAAAATCTTCGTCGCCCTGAAATATAAGAGACACCATTCCTAAGTAAGACCATACAAGTACAAAACACAAAACATACATGAACAGAGGATTTATTCAAAGGAAAACTAACGAAAAGTCCAAAAAAATTTTAGTTTTAATGAAAAAAGGACAAATAAAGGTGTAGTGAATAGTATCAGGAAAAGGTAAAGTACCGAAAGTGTTTAGTTAAAACTCCCTTTATTCAAGTGTAAATTCACAACTGCTCCACTTAATTCTCTATATACACTGCACTTATTCATTATCAGGAGAAATTTTTCCTAAACAAAATGAAAATTCTCAATTGGTATGTTCGACACTTTATCGTACCCAGTGCACAAGGCTCCCGCTTTACGCAGGGTCTGGGAGAGGTGAATGTCGGCTAGCCTTACCCCCATTTATGGAGAGGCTGCTCCCAAGAATTGGTATGTTCGACACTAGATAGAAATATAATAGTTGCGGAAGAGAAGTGAACGATAATAAAGCTATATCTAAATTTACATGCTACTGTCGTCTGCACACGCTAGAGACTATGAAGAGGCTGGAATAAACACGCCGCTAAAACAGCTGGTTGCCTGCCTGTAGAAGAAAAAAAATGCACATGCAATAGGTTGACATGGAAAAAAAGGGTGCCGAGACAAAGTCTTTTGCAGTGAACCATGATAAGAGAGTCCTTTCTCAGATTTTCCCACAAATACTCTCTCCAATCCTTCAGAACCTTTTGGTACAAAGCCCATGCAATAGGTTGACATGGAAAAAAAGGGTGCCAAGACAAACTCTTTTGCAGTGAACCATGATGAGATAGTCCTTTCTCAGATTTGCACACAAATACTCTCTCCATTCCTTCAGAACCTTTTGGTACAAAGCCCATGGTTTACATGCATGCAGCATCAGCTCCAAGTGTTTCTTTTGATAAGAAAGCTGTGGCTTATATGTATTTAAAATCCAAGTAATCATATGCATACCATATTTCCTTCACCTAAACCACCTCACCGATCACAATCAAATGTATTGTGGGATGAAGCCAACTACTTACTCATGAAAACAGATGATTACAGTTAGGGATGAAGTTAATCAGTGCCACGTTCTAGCTATAACCACCACCAGAAACAAACTCAACCAACAAAAGCTCCGTATACCTGGTTTATTAACGATTTCATGCAAATTAGCATGAAGAGTATTATTTGATAACTATTCCTCACTATACACCACCTCCTCTTAATGATATGTGCAGTTGTTTATCAATTTATTCCAGAAATCAAATTAAAGAGTTTTTCTTAGGTCTCTTTCCTAGAACTCTTTTTTTTTTTAAAGGATGATAATGGATAGGTGAGTCGAGCTATACATAAGGCTTGGTCATTGGTCTACCATAGTAGCCACTCTCTAAACCCGCACAAGACGGTCAGCAAACCAAGAACTCAGGATTTAGCCATCGACTACAAATTAGGCTACTTCCTTCCAACTCAAGGTGATTAGAAAGGGATAACTCCCTGATAGAACGACCACCCTGGTGCCCTATCTCTGAATTTTGTTAAAGACAAAAAGCGATAAAAAATACAAGTGGGGGGACGAAGCCAAAACCGCAAAGGAAAAACAATGCATCACCCACCTGGAACCCTCTTAGGTCTCCTTCCTAGAACTCAATTGTCTTCATTTCCAGCTTTGGTTCTATAGTTTTATCTCCAAATGTTTTTCTGTTGCTTACAACAGGGATTCTGCTTTTTATTTTGATTTGTCACAGTTAAAACTAGTCCACCAATCTACAATAAAGCAACAAAAATAAGAAACAAAGAACAGAAGACTATTCACTACAAACAGAACCCCATCAAAAATTGATTTTCTATCTCAAGTAGGCTAGAGCTACGTGCTTCCCCCTCTCTAGTCTGCACTCAAGTTTGAATTTCCCTCCATGTAGTTTAGATTGATTTAGTGTAGACTATTGATCGAATAAAAATAAAAACAGCTGCTTGCCAATCTTCAATATAAAAGAAAGCGGCATATCTCAAAATGCAGATGAAACGGTAAGTCGCAACCCAAAGGGAAGTAAAAAATAATACTCTATCCCATAACACTTCCTCCAACCACTCTCCAACCAAATTACCGGAAAAAAAATGCTAATTGGAACCCTAAAATTCCTTTGCCTTTGTTTCACTACCAAACACCTTATGTCTTTCACAATAGAGAGAAAAGCAACCACCCGGAATTACCGAACTAACCTCAACCAAAAATATGAAGTTAGAGGATAGTTGAGGAAAAGATGATCTTTAATTTCACCCTTTCCTTTAAAACATACTGCACCACTGGAAGAACAATAAGAATTAAACCTCTCTCCTTTGGGCCAAAGCACAGGGATTAGCTCACCCACAGGGAATTATCCAAGCAAAAAGTTCACCTTAGGAGGTATCATAGCCTTTCAAGAAAACTGGGAAGAGATGGATACACAAGTCACTCTCTAAGTATGCATGAACAAACAAACCCACTACCTTCTAGCATCTGATCTACCATGAAAAGAAGCTAGGATTCTTCAATATAGACAACCTAGAAGCGAGCTCCAAAATTCCAGTTCGCTTGGATACCTTTTTTAGTATAAAATGTATATACCCCTAAGAACTCTAAGTAGTACTAATTGCTTGTCAAACTCAGCATGCAAAGTATACAGTGCAAACAATTGTCTTAAATTATTATAAAACTAAGATTTTGAAATATATGCAGTCAAATTCAATTGAGCATAAAAAACTTTTCAGTAATGATGTCTCTCAGCAAGCTCTCTATGTACACTAAATAATGCAAACCTACAATGCAACTAAGTTTTTCTATAGCTTTTTAATCAAATAGTAGATTGGAGTTTCATTCAGAATTTTCATGTATCGTTTTTTGAATTTTATGATATTATTTCCATGTTTTTGGAACCAATATATCCAGCTACGCTGATGTATTACCTTGCTTATGAGACAAGCAATCTATCTAGAAAGGCTATCCTAATGTACTTATGTAATTAAGTGAAGTTATCGAAAAACTCACATTCTTTGGAACTAATTTGGTCCCATGAAATAATATCCATAAAAATAGAACAAAACTGATTAGCTAAAAAGGAATAAGAAAAAAGTCCAAAGAAATAAGGAAGTCAGTTTGCTCACAAGATGCAATATCTTCTAATCATCTCAAATGTAGACGGATCTTTAGCTTGGCAACTGAAGAAACCATCATGATATAAGCTTACTTTGGAAATGCCATATGTGTACCAGCAGTCATAAGTTTCATTGACCTAACAAACATGAGAAATTAAAAAGAATTCTATCAAGGAGTTGAGAACCATAGTGTTCAGCCATGACGTTATCTTCATAGTAAATGTGGAATTCATACAAATTAATTTTAACCAAAAATGCAATAATAATTAAGCTGACCGCAGCGTATGCAAATGTAAAGGCCTTCTAACATACCTTGAATTTGTCTTTGGTCAGCCATGCAGCACCAAAATTAGGTCTGCAATTAAGAGGAAGGGCCTCATCTGGAGCCTCAGCTAATGCAAGCTGAGTCTGACCAGAAGACTGATCTTTGTATTCCACCTGCAGTCAGGAAACAGAAGAATTAATATTTGAATGATCAGAACATGCCAAACAGATACTACAACATACCATTCTCAATTCATGTGGTAGGAAACCAATATGACTAGTGTTAATGTTTCGTGGTTTGACTCATGTCAAGTTTATCAAGGGTTACAGGAAACATCATAGCATGACCGTAAAGCATAATTTCTTCAAACTAAAAAACAGTGATGTTACCAGTTTACTACAACACCCACTTGCCAAATGCCATTCTATCATCCACATAGAATCTTTCATAGTGCTCTTTTGGTTCACGGATGAACTGCATTTACCTCAAACTTGAAGAAAAAACTAACAGAGACACACTCGAATCCAAATCTCTAATAACACAAAGTTCCAACTACAAATTACGTGTGGAAGGTAAAGCTATGCAATCAGAAATTGCTATTACTAGTTGCCTATAATTAGCATACTGCATGCCAAGAAAGATTGTTGAAGTAACCTTAAAAATTGAAGCCCAGTAGTAATCATAACGGCAACGAAATCTTCTTCCCTCAAAAGGATAAAACACATGCTTGGCTTTATAATTGAACAATCCAAGCTCACACACCTTAGATGACTTAAGATCAACACCTGCAAAAACGAAAAACCGCTCCAACTCGATTATTATGATTTCGTGATAGATAATAAACTAACTAACAACAGATCCTTGTCTTCCGAAAACCGAACATATATCTCCGTCATTTTAACAGAAAAAAGGTGATCGTAATTAGCAAATTCGGTTGAAAAAATGTATTAAAACTATATGCATATACAAGTTTTTCAGTAATCTAACCAGAGGAAAACAGCTATATTTGTTATTACAGCTAAACAATCAAAAGCAGATTGCAAAAACCCTAATCTGCTAATTCGAATTCTCATTTCGAAGTCAACAAACAGTGACATTCAAGAATATCATAGTTATTAAAATAAATTAAATAAATAAATAAACTCACTGCTTGAGACGATCCTGCACTGAGAGGGCACGGAAATTGGGCTAGGAATTGAGGAATCGGCGACGAAAACGGCGACGAAAGCGACGAAAAGCGATAGTGAAAAGAAAGCAAGGATAGGGAGAAGGAGACACAGAGACCACCGGAGTATTAAATTGGCCACGCTGCCCTTCGCAGAGGCCTCCTCAGAATCCATTAAGCTTGGTATATCGCGTAAATTAAAGGGAATTCGTGGGTTTTTCTGCAAAAGGTCCGGCCACCGGAACCATTTATCCGGTGATCGGAATACCCAGCCCCCAATAGCACTGAACAGCAGGAAGAAGAGGAATTATTGATTTGTTTTTCTTTTTCTTTGTCGTTTCTGCGAAAGATTCAAATCAACTATTTGGTCGCTTCGCTTCTTTTCTCTCTTTTTTTTTTTCAATCCTGTTTTTCCCTCTTAATTTGTTTATATATTCTGCTCAATTTTAAGCTTTCCTCAGGTAATTTTATTTTAAATTAATAAAATTTATAATATTAATAAAAATAATGTTAGAAAGATCAAATTTATTAATAATTAAATTATTATTTAACTATTAATTAACATGCTTATATTTCATGAACTTTATTAAAACAATTTGGATAAAATGAATATTTAAATTTGAAAATATTTAAATTTCGATAAAATATAGACAATCACACAATACATACGAACCACATTTCAACCAAAAGCCAATTTACCAAATGTACTCACAATTTGTGGGTCTCTGACGTGGCCGAAATGCAAGTGCACCGTGTGCCGTGCGGCATACCTTTGTTTCGGAGTGGCGTACATGGCAATCCGTGCACCCGCGCGTAATACTAGGGGATATATCCGGCATTTTCACAGAAGCTGTACCCTTTAAACAAACGCCTTCTCATTTTCCCTCTCAAATTATTACACTTTCTAGCGCTTTCGGTTCGATTTCGATTCGTCAGTTTTTTAGGGTTTCGGTTTTCCCTCTCTATACACTCCAAAGCCCCAATCTTTGCACTATCTCTCTCTATTCTCCCAAATCGATCAACTTTCTCGGCTACCAAACGGCCAGTTACCCTGTTTCGACGATGGATGTGAGGTTAACAGAAGGGGCGATAATGAAGATGTGCACAGAGGAGCTCAACGACGGGAGCTTTCAGCCCATCCTGCAAGTGATGGACGTGAAGCTGGTCCATACGGCGGCGCGAAATGGAGCTCAGCCGGGCCAAGATAAGGAGAGATACAGGGTTGTGATCTCCGACGGGTCGCACTACCAGCAGGGGATGCTGGGCACCCAGAAGAACACACTGGTTCGGCAAGGTATGCTTCAGAGCGGCTCCATCGTCTGCCTCAAACAGTTCACCTGCAACGCAATCCAAAACCGCCTGTAAGTATTCTTATACTATTTCATCCCTTTCCAATTTCACTCCTTTTTTTTCGATTCGTTTGCGAAATTTTACAGATGGGGTATTATTTATTTATTTTTGTTTTGACTCGATTCGGTTTGAAGTTTTTGTTTTCTGTTTGGGAATTTTCTAGGGAACGGAGAGAAAAAGGGTTATCGAATTTACGGGTTTAGTTGATTAAGAATTTAGTACTCTAGTGATTTGGTTTCAGTTAGTACGCTATTTGCAGTCTGGTGAGAAGCATTGATGATGATGGTTTGGTTGGTTAACATTTTGTTTCGTTATATCTGTAATTGTTTGTTCTTTCCGATTGTGCAATTACTTTTGTTATGTTAAATGGAATTATTCATATTTGGGTTACGGTTTGCAGGATTATCATTATAATTGAATTGGATTTGGTGCTTGACAAATGTGATTTCATTGGCAATCCTGTACCGGGACCTAAGTATTCGAATGCACAGTCGTCAGGGACGTCACCTGGAAATTCTCAATCTCTTGGTGGCACTGCAAATTCTGGCAGCACAGTTCATCAAACTGGCACGGGGGCTACTCCAGAACAGCCTAGAGTAAATCAATCATTTGGTAGTGCAGCTAGTGCTTACTCTAGTAATGCTGAGCCAGGAAGAAATGCTACTATGAATACACCTTCCAATTACCCTAAACCAGAGTCTGGATTTGGTTTTCCTGGATCAGCACCATCAAGTGGGTCATATGGCAATCAGAGCATAGGTTTTCACAACCCTAGATCTGAAGTTCCTCAGCCACCACCAAATTCATATGCCCGCCCACCTCAGCCCGCATATCAGCAGCCACCTCCGGTGTATACTAATAGAGGACCAGTTGCCAAAAATGATGCTCCTCCAAGAATAATGCCAATTGCTGCTCTGAATCCATATCAAGGAAGGTGGACAATCAAGGCTAGAGTGACAGCTAAAGGAGAACTTAGGCGCTATAACAATACTCGTGGCGATGGGAAAGTATTTTCTTTTGATCTTCTTGATGCTCATAATGGAGAAATTCGAGCAACCTGTTTTAATGCTGTGGCTGATCAATTCTACAACCAGATTGAAGTTGGTAAGATTTATTTGGTCTCCAGGGGTAGTTTAAAACCAGCTCAAAAGAATTTCAACCACCTCAACAATGACCATGAAATTCTTTTAGATAACTCATCAGTAATACAGTCATGTTTTGAGGATGATGGTTCGATTCCACATCATAATTTCAATTTCAGTCCAATAAATCTTGTTGAAGGCTTGGAGAACAACACTATTGTGGATGTAATAGGTGTGGTATCATTTATCAGTCCCCCTGCCTCTATAATGAGGAAAAATGGTGTTGAGACTCAGAAGAGAACCCTCCACTTGAAGGACATGTCTGGTCGTAGTGTTGAAGTAACTCTTTGGGGAAATTTGTGCAATGCAGAAGGACAAAGACTGCAGGTTATGTGTGATTCTGGTCTATTCCCGGTGCTTGCTGTAAAAGGTGCTAGAGTCAATGACTTCAATGGGAAGGCGGTGGGGACCATTTCCACAAGTCAGCTTCTGATAGAGCCTAATATCGAGAAGGCTCAGGAGGTGAGGAACTGGTTTGAGAAGGAAGGAAAGAATACCTCATGTATCTCTATTTCCAGGGAAACGGCAGGTGTGGGTAGAACAGAGAACCGAAAGACGTTATCCCAAATTAAAGATGAGAAGCTAGGGACTTCCGAGAAGCCAGATTGGATCACAGTTGGTGCAACCATTTCATTTATAAAGGTTGATAGTTTTTGCTATTCAGCATGCCCACTCATGATTGGTGATCGACAATGCAGCAAAAAGGTTACAAATAATGGAGATGGGACTTGGAGGTGTGAAAGATGCAATGAGTCCGTAGAAGCATGTGACTACAGATATATACTCCAGTTTCAGATACAGGACCATACTGACTCAACATGGGTAACTGCATTTCAGGAGGGTGGTGAGGAAATCATGGGAATACCTGCAAAAGATTGTATTTTATCAAATTTGAAGAGCAAGATGATGAGAAGTTTGCAGAAATCATTCAGAAGGTTCTCTTTACCAAATTCATTTTCAAGTTGAAAGTAAAGGAGGAGACTTTTAGTGATGAGCAACGTGTAAAATCAACAGTTATCAAAGCCGAGAAAGTGAACCATTCATCGCATGCTAGATTTCATTTGGAATTGATGGATAAACTTAAGATGGAAAATATTAGTTCTTCTGCCTCCAAAGGGGACAATCTAATGCCTAGCGCCGGAATGAATGTTGCTGGAGTCGGGAACACTGCAATTAGACAGCCCACCCCTGCTGTGAATGTTGGTTATAGTAACAATGCTGGTAGAGAATTTGGAGCACCAGAAAATCAAGCGGGTCACCATGGGAATCAGTATGGCGGTACGTTTTTTCAGGGGGTTCTGCTGGTTCATATCAAATATGTAAGAGTTGCGGGGATGCTGGCCATAGCTCAATGAACTGCCCAACTGTAATGAATGGCGCAGGACAGTCATCAGGAGTGGGCTATAACAATAGAGTGTCTTCTAGGCCAGGTATCAGCAATACTTCTGGTGAATGCTACAAATGCCACCAACCTGGACACTGGGCAAGAGACTGTCCTGGGTTAAACACTACTCCAGCTTATGGAAGCAGTGGAATCAACCGTGGGACATATGGTGTTTCAAATTAAGAGGTCGGTCGCTTTTGAGGTTTGCTTGGACAAGGTTTGTATAATAGATGGACACTTGATCAGCGTCCTTTGCTGGGCGTCGGATGTGCTTCTTGGTTATGGGATTTTGAGTAGGTGAACTTTTCCCTTGTAGCAGCAGAGGGTTGAACCATGGTTAGGTTGGAGCTGAACCGAACTTTTAGCCTTTATTTGAATCAGTCCTTCCAACTTCAGAATCATGTTTTGAAAGAGAAGCTTTGGTGAGAACGCCTCAGACTCTTTGTTATTACCTAATATGTTTTTATGTCTTAATTTCATGGATCTTGGTTTTATTTTACTCTCTTTTGTAAAGGTATTGCTTATACTGGTTAGAAAAGCTTAATGAAATCCCATGCTATAAGGGTCTGCGTACGGTTGCCCAATTTAAGTATGTGTTGGTTCATCTCTCCATTTCTAACCATTTAAGTATGTGTTGGTTTATTTATCTCACCATTTCGAACCATTTTGAGCATGCATGGGTTGTTTCCCATCAAGAAATGCATTTTGTAAATCCCTTTCAGTTGAGGCTGAAGTAGCCAAATTTGCAGATACAGATTGCATTTTATTTGGGTTTTCAATTTCTCCTCCTACAGGCTACAATAGATGCATGTCTTGTCGGATTGGCAGCGCCTCATTGGTGATTGTACATTCTATTTCTCTTCTACCATCCAATGTTGATTTGACGCCATTGCGGAAAGTGCAGTTTGGTTGAAGCTTGAGTTGAGTACGGTCTCTTTCGCTCAAACAATTTTATTCTCATTTCTTCTTGCTTATTTCTCGACGACTTTGCCGTCCTCGTAAGACTTCAGTACTCATGTCATGCATTTGACTGGACTCTTCAAATCCAAGTTCATGCTGCTGAAGACCTCTAAGTTTCGATTGCTCGGAGGACTTAAAAGTTGGTTGGGAGTGGCAACTGGCAATAGTGTCACTCGTGCAATTTCAAGGAATTTTTGTTGATTTTATCGACCCAACCGGTTGCAAGCCATACGCACAAAATTTGTGGGCAGGAGAAAAATCTGTTTAGCAGTATTGAGCCCAAAATTGCTCAAACGAAATTTTGGCCCATCTGAGAGCTAGAGCCAGTCCATGCTTGAGCATAATGTTAGGGAAAAGTAACCATACAATTTAGTGTTAGTTTCGAATTGCTTTTTTTTTTTTTTTTTAAAATTCTACTCAGAAGCATTTTTAATAAAAGTGCTTCTATTAGAAGCATAGTGAATTTCTAATAAAAATGCGAGTGCTATCTGGAAACAAGTTTTTCCCCTTCAAGTGTTTTTTGGAACCTAGAAGCACTTCTTTTTCTTTAAATCATATTCATAAGCGCTT